TGAAGACCATGTGTGCCTATCTAGGGCTCCCTTGGAGCCATATTGGGCCAAACGGGGCGGGGTGGAGGGTCTTTTGGGAGAGGCTGGGAGGCCGCTTGGGGTCATCTTGGGCCCCATGGCCCAAACAGAGGAGGTCCTTCAATTAGCATCGCCCCCATCGGAGGTTCCCAAACGGCATCTTGGGGCCCTCTGGGGGCGCTCTTGGGCGCCTCTTGGGCGATATTCGGACCGTCTTCGGCCTTCTTGGGCCCCTCTTGGGCCTCTTTTGGGCTATCTTGGGGCCATCTTGAGGCTTCCAAAGCCCATCGGCAACGAAAGGGCTATAATGCCAAACGCATTGATTTTTCCCTCGGCATTTGAAGGGCTTGTCATCTTGGAGGGCGCCATGGATGGCTCGAAGGGCACTTGGATCCGTCTTGGGGCTGTCTTGGGGCCTCTTGGGGGTATGTCGGAGGCTATCTTGACCCATTTTGAAGTAGCATGGGCCATCTTGGAGGCCATCTTGCGACTTTGAAACCCCCTTGGACGCATTTTGGGCCATTTTGGACGCTGCGGCGCCTCGGCCCCCCCCCTCCCAGGCCCAGGGGAGGGGGTAGGGGGAGGGGTCAAGACCCCCTCCCCGCCCGCAAGCCGTCTCGCTCACTCCCACCCGCCCTCCCAACACATACGTAGCACCCGAGTCTGGCCCGAGCCTCAGCATATTCAGCAGTCGTCTTTGGATGGGCAGCTACTGGGGGCCAATCCGCCGCCGCCGCCGCTGCCCGCCGCCGCCGCCGCCGCCGCGCCGCCGCCGCCGCCGCCACCGCCGTCGCCTGCCGCCGCCGCCGCCGCCGCAGCCGCCGCAGTCACCGCCACCGCCGCCGCCGCCGCCGCCGCAGCCGCCGCCGCCGCCGCGAAGTGTACTCTGTTTTGTTTTTTGACAGGGATGGTGTGGGGGGGGGGCCGCATCGGGTTGGCTGCGCATGTTCCGAATTTGGAGGCAGAGTGTCTTTTATTTTTTTACAAGGGAAGGTGGGAAGATGTTGTCATGGACCCTGGTTGGCCCCCAGTCGCCTGGGGGAGGGGGTGTTTATTAATAGGGAACAGTGATAGGGGGAAAAACAAAACGCGTTATACCACCTAAGCCAAGGGTTGGTGGGACTCTTGGGGGCCCTCTCGGGATCTCGATTGGCCTCCGGAACCCAGGCGCCGTGGAAAAGAACATCACGGCGGGTCTTCCTGCCTTATTTCGGGCCCGTTGACCTTGCCAGATCGATGTGGCTCGAGAAGTGTTGGCCGAATATGGCGTCGAGAGTTTTGCAGATGTTTGGATCGTTTTTTTCCACACGGCGTCGGGACTATGGGCCGGCGCACGATCTTTTATATCGTTGCCGCCGCCGCTGCCGCTGCTCTTTCTCTTCTGCTCTGCGCGATCGGCCAGTGGGACTCTGTGAGTCATATCCTCCCCCTTTCCTCCCCCCTCCCCCACCCCTTCCCCCCTTGACCGAAGGTTGATCGACCTCCTACCCTGACACGTCGATTAGTGGATTGGCTGTTTTCGGTTCGCGAGAGGGCGCCGCGGCCGTCATTGTTGCGGGTCCAGGTCCGTCGGTTTCGGTCCCAGGCCGTTCTCACTGAGGGGAGGTTTGCTGAAGGGAGGTTTGTCCACCGCCGATGTCCTCCTCCCTTCTCTTCTCAGGAGGGGAAAAAACACACAGACACAATTAATCCTCGATTCCCAGGAAGATGTGGGAAAATATGGGAAGTGGGGGGAGGACAAAAAACCAGAACATGTGGGAAAATATGGGGACTCTTGTTATTTGTGTGTATTTCTTTGTGTGTCCCAGGGCCCCTTCATCTTCCTCCCCCTCTGGGAGGAGGGCGGCCGGCGACGGCTTTGCGAGGCAGTGGAGGGGGAGGCAGCGGAGGGGGAGGACGGACGGCTGCAGGGCCCAGTAGTGAGCCATGCGTGAGAGGAGATCAGTATCCTCCTCATCCTCCTCCTTCTTTTCCTCCTCCTCCTCCTCCTTCTCTTCCTCCTCCTTCCTCCTCCTCCTCCTCCTCCCCTCCTCCTCCTCCTCCTCCTCCTCCTCCTCCCTCCTCCCCTCCTCCTCCTCCTCCTCCTCTCCTCCTCCTCCTCCTCCTCCTCCCCTCCTCCTCCTCCTCCTCCTCCTCCTCCTCTCCTCCTCCTCCTCCTCCCCCTCCTCGTCCTCGAGTTTGGGGGGACCGACGCGGTGGAGGCACGAGCAGGTGCCGCGCCGACCGGCGGCGAATCCCTTTGTTCGGGCCGCAGGCTTCGGGTCTCCGCCACGCTCCTGCGGAGCGGAGCCCTTCCCCCTTGAAAAAGGGAGCAGGAGCACGAGGAGGAGGGGGAGGAGGAGGAAGAGGAGGAGGAGGAGGAGGAGGAAGAGGAGGATGAGGTGGGGGAGGAGGAGGAGGAGGAGGAGGAGGAGGAGGAGGAGGAGGAGGAGGAGGAGGAGGCGCAGGGGGAGGAGGAGGGAGATGAGGAGGCGGAGGAGGAGGCGGAGGAGGAGGAGGAGGAGTTGGAGGAGGAGGAGGGAATCAGGGAGAGGAGGGAGGGAGGGAGCATCGTGTTTTCGGAGCAGACGCATAGCAGGACGGGAGCTCTAGAGAGACCTGGGTCATTCCTTGTGTTTCGGCATTACGTATTAATAACTCCTATATCACCGTAGTAGACTTCCGACCTGGTCAAGCGCAGCTTCCGTGCTAACGAGAGAACGAATGGCTAAGAGGATCTCGGGAGGGGCGTGCTTGGACAGGCTGGTCCCTTCGCTAAACAAGCGGCCTCCTGATCGCCCGTTCGTTCTTACTCGGACAGGCGTTCCTCTCTGACATCCGTCGTCGACGCATGGGCAGGAACTTCTTTGACAGAGAACTGTCAAGGTCTCCAGAGGAGAAGGGTGCACCCTCGCATTCGCTGGGCTGGAAGCGTGCCACCGACTGTTACAGCGCTGGATAGTGCCTTAACGCATCGTATACAGCGTAAGCGATTCTGCATGCAATGTTTGACGCACTACAACGAGCATAGTCCTCGCCGACGCGCGCCACCTGATCTGTTCAGGTGTCTGGGGGCACCAAACGGTACCATTATGCAGTGCAAGCCTGACAGGAGGAGAGGAGACGGATGAAGCGGAAGGAGCAGGAGGACCATTGTAGTCCGAAGACACACTAACGATATCGCAATAATTCATCCGTTCAATGCCATCGTCATACGTTCCGACGCGACTTTGTATTCATTGCGGGAAGCGCCCCAGTGAAAGATAACCGTCTGAGAATGCTCGTTCGTGCCAGCACACCATTTTTGGGAGTTCGACGCCACAGATCAGCCTGCAGTTTGCGTCCCGACAGTCCTAGTTCGAGCCAGAACGCCAGTCGTGGACGACCGTGCGAATCCTCGATTTTCTGCTGCGAACTTTTGAGACGACTGCGCGCGGCGCCGCGGCGAGGGCCACACTTCTGATGCCGAGCCGCTCTCCACCACTGAAGTGTGCCGCAGATGTTTCGGACGAGTGCGCGCGGCGCAGCGGAGACGGCCACACGCTCTGAAACGGAGCCGCCCTCCGTCCCCGAAGCTGCTGCATGCTGTTCGGGCGAGCGCGCCCGACGCCAGGGCGAGGGCCACGCTCTGAAGAGGAGCCGGCCTCCCTTTGGAAGCTCCCTCGGATTTTTAAGGCGAGCGTGCGCGGCGCCAAGGCCAGAGCCATGTTTTGAACAGGAACGCCCCTGCACCTTTGAAGCTGTTGCAATCACTGAAGGTGAGAGAGCGTGGCGCAATGGTGGTGAGAGGGACACTTTGAACAGGAGCCGCCCTTGCGATGAGGAGGAGCGCGGAGGGAGGGGGATGTGGAGGAAGACCAGCGCAAAACCAGGACTCGTCAGCAATACGCTAACCGTGGGATTTCGTCAAACTCGCGCAATTGTTCGATATGAGTGTGCGCGGTGCTAACGCGAGAGCCAGATTTTGAAAAGGAACCGCCCTCAATCCGTGACACGTTTGCACGCTTTTAAGACGAGTGTGCGTGGCGCTTTGGCGGGAGCCACATTTTGAAAAGGAGCCGCCCTCAATCCGTGAGGCTCTTGCAATTTGTTACGGCGAATGTGCGCAGCGCTAAGGGGAGAGCCGCTCGGGGGCCTCTTGGGGGCCTCTCGGGGGGGGGCCTCTTGGAGGTCTCTTGGGGCTTCTTGGGGCGCTTTCTGGGCCCTCTTGGGAGCCTCTTGGGAGCCCTGGGGTGCCTCTTGGGGCCATCTTCGAGGCGGTCGACCAAAAGATGGTGGTTGCCTTATCTCCGCCCCCCCGCTCGGGGGCCACGATCCTCGTGGTTAGTGTCGAACATTGGCCCTCCCAGTGGCCGAAAGAAGGACGCTCTAACGCGTCGCGACCCCCTCCCCCAACAAAAACTCAGGGATGGGAGGGAAAGGGTTCCCCTCCCCGAAGGGAAGAGGAGTCGTGGAAGAGGAAAGAGACCATCCTTAGACCACCTGTCGCCCAAAGGGCTGGTGGGATTCGTTCCGACGAAGATGCGCGGCGCTCAGGCGAGAGGCACATTTTGAAAAGGAACCGCCATCAATGCGGAAACCCCTTGCAATTTCACAAACGGATGTGCGCGGCGCTGAGGCGAGAGCCACATGTTTGAACATCACGAATCTGCAATCCGTGAACCTCCTGCTGCGTTTTTTAAGACGTACGTGCGCGGCGCTTAGGCGACAGTTGCATTTTGAAAGCGGCCCGTCCTTCACCCGTGAAACTGTTGCAGATTCTGAGCTGCAGGATCATAAATGATGAGGGAGACTCAGGCGAAACGCCTGGCCTGGCCGACCCTTCCGACCGACTGGCCTCGGGGTGCGACAGGGAGAAGTTTTGAATGGAATTGAAGGAGGGGGATGAGGAGGAGGAGGAGGAGGAGGAGGAGGAGGAGGAGGAGGAGGAGGAGGAGGAGGAGGAGGAAGGGGAGGAGGACGATTTCAGTGACGACGTCTTTGTCGACGATGGCGACGGCGAGGTATGTGCCTCCGATGCCGCGCAGCCAGCCGCCCTGCAGGAGGGCTGCTGCGGCCGTCTGCCGCCGGCCCGCGTCGACTTCTCCGTGGTCGCTGCCGCGGTCGTCGTCGTCGTCGCCGTCGTAGTCGTCGTCGCCGTCGCCGTCGTCGTCGTCGTCGTCGTCGTCGTCGTCGTCGTCGTCGTCGTCGTCGTCGTCGTCATCCGTCGTCGTCGTTGCCGTTGTCGTCGTCGTCGTCGTCGTCGTCGTCGTCGTCGTAGTCTTGGTCGTTGTCGTTGTCGGTGGTCGTGGTGGTCGCTGCCGTCGCTGTCGTGTCGTCGTCCTCGACGTCGCCGTCGTCGCTGCCCTTGCTGTCGTCCTCGTCCTCGTCTTCTTCCTCGTCGTCGTCCTCATCCTCCGTTATCGTCGTGTTCGTCGTCGTCGTGGTCGTAGTCGTTGTTGTCGTTGTCGTCGCCGTCGTCGTCGTCGTCGTCGTCGTCGTAACCGTAGTCGCAGTCGTAGTCGTAGTCGCAGTCGTGGTGGTGGTGGTGGTCGCCGTCGTCGTCAATCGTCGGCTGTCGCGTCGTCGTTCGTTTGGGGTCAGTGCCGTTGTCCACCCCCTCCTCTGTTTTCTCCCCATCTTGCACCTCCTCCCTGCCCTGCTCCCTCTCCCCCCCTCCCTGTCTCCCTCCTCCCTCCCTCCCTTCCTCCTTCAGAGGCTTACGCCTTTCCGCAGCCGCCCCTGCGCTTGGTCCGTGCCGAGCGGGCCTGGTGCCCGATGGCAAGCTCGGGCTCAGAGCTGGGCACCCCTCCTCGCGCTGAGGGGTGGCGTGCTGCATCGGAGTGACGTTGCCCCATGGCTCACTGGGTGTGTGCCAATCCCCCCATCACGGCACGAGGACCGCCTCAATGCCCGATCCGACCGACCCTCCCGATCCGACCGACCCTCCCATCCCGATGACGGCGCAGCGTCGGCTGCGGAGCGCGGGGCCCAAGTGCACCGGCAGCAGCGGTGGCTCTCGGGGCCCAGGCGTGGCGGCAGCAGCAGCAGCGGCGGCGGCCCAAGCGGGCGGCCCCGCCGTCGCCGAGAGGATGCCGTCCCGGCAGGGCCAGGGCTCGGCCAAGCGCTTGCGCTCGGACCCCAGTGCTGCCGAGGCGCGGAGGGATCCCCTGCTCGACGAGTCGGCGGCGAGCCCGGGGGGGGCGGGACGCGAGCGGGGGCAGACGACCCTCTCAGAAGGCGGCGTCGCCCGCAGCCCTTGTGAGAAGTCTTCCCGGGCCCTCTCCGAAGGCAGGGGCGCCTTCTCAGGAGGCCGCGGGCGCCTTCTCAGAAGCCCCGCCGCCTGCTGAGAGGGGGCCTGCCCCCCCTCTCTCGCCTCCCGCCCCCCCCACGTGGGCTTCGCGCCGCCCGCAGCCGTCGACCGAGGGCACATCCACGAAGCTGGGCGCTCCATTCCTCTCACGAGCTGGAGGAGTCCCTGCGCGCTGCAGGGCCGCGCCACGCACAGATGGAGGCCGCGGCGCGCGGGCAGGGCGGCGCCACCTCCGTTGCAGGGCGGGGCCGGCGAGGCCTCAGGCCAACACTATTCGTCTGGTCGCTCACGGCGGCAGCGGTGAGGCTCGGAGGAGGACATGGTACCCGTGCCGCTGCCCTTCCTCGGTTTCCCCTCTTGGGGCCTCCTCGGAGGCCCTCGTCGCCACCGCTGGATTCGCCTCGAAATTCTTGCCAGAACGCACCCTGGGAGCGGTCTGGGGTGTAGCGGTATCGGCACCTTTTGTCGGGGAAGCGTAAGATTCGAGTACGCTGAAGCTCGAGTTTGCCGACGCTTTTTGACGAGCGCGTTCTGGATTTTGACGGTCCAGTTTTCGTGGGATTTTTGCAGCGGGAGGTCGCGCCAATTTTCAGACTGGGTCCCGTCATTTTCATGGAGGCCCCGAGTCTTACGTCTCTCCCATGTTCGTTTTCCCAGAGGCTTACCAGTTTGAAACATATCCCTATCCCTATGTTTGACATCACCTCACCTCGATGCCGATCTTAAGGATTCCATCAGTTTTTGAGGGCCTATCCCTAATATTGTCCTCGCTTTTTGCTCGCCCATCTTAGGGATAGGGATACGTTTGAGGCTGGTTATTCTGCTGGGTTCCGCCGCCGCCTCCTCCCTCCGCTCTCCTCCCTCCAACCCTTACTTCGGGCACGTCCCTCTACAGGAGGGATATTCGCAAATAGTTAAACAATCGTGCGGGGCTGATTTTTGACTATCTTTGACTTTTTTGAGTATTTCTTGACTATTTTCTATTTTCGCCCCAAAGCCGCCTGTAGGAGGACACACCCGACCTAATCCTACCCCTTCCCTCCCTCCGTTGGCGGAAGACATGTCCGTATCCGTGGCCTCGCGGGCTGGGCCCCTGGGCCGCAACCCGGTGGATGCGGGGAGTTTCTTGCGGATGCCCTGCGCGGCACGTGTCCGTGCGACTGGGACAGCGCCCCAGAATCCAGACCGAGAGTGCGTGGAGATGGATACGCTCGCCGCTGCCGCTCGTGACTTGCGTTCCGGCCCCCCCCAGACCATCAGGCATGGACTCGTGACAAAAGCTGGCCTTGCGGAAGGGCTCGAGACCTCTCAGGGCCCGCGGGGCCCTCTTGCTCCTGGCTCTGGCGGCAGCCACAAGTGCTGGATGCAGTCAACCCGCACTGTAAGGATGGGCAACCTTCCCAAGGCTGCCCTTGCGTCCTTGCCTCCTCGGTCCATCCTTCGCCACTTTCGTTGGGCGCGCCCCGCTCGAGACGCCTCGAAACGGGCGTCCAAGGCGCTTGCATCCGTACCGCGCATCCTTACCAGAAGGGTTGACTGTAGGGCCCGTGGGGCCCTCTTGCTCCTGGCTCTGGCGGTAGCCACAAGTGCTGGATACGTTCGCCGCTCCGGCTGCCGCCGCCGCCGCGCTGGCCGCCGCCGCCGCGCTGGCCGCCGCCGCGCTGGCCATCGCCGCGCTGGTCGCCGCCGCCGCGTTGGCCGCCGCCGCGCTGGCCGCCGCCGCCGCCGCGCTGGCCGCGGGCGGCCGCCAGCCTGGCTGGCGCGGCAGTGCCGCCGCGCGGGGGCCCCTGCAGGACACCTCGGCGTCCGCCGCCGCGCTGGCCGCTGGCGGCGCCGCGGCGGCGCTTCCGCCGCACGCGGACGTCCTGGTGTTCGGGCCCAGGCGCGGACCGCCTTGATGATGATGAGGATGATGATGAGGATGATGACGAGGATGATGATGGTGATTATGATGATGACGAGGAGGATGATGCTGATGCTGATGATGATGATGGTGGTGATGATGATGCTGACGCTCATGGTGATGATGCTGATGGTGTTGATGACTATGATGCTGACGATGACGACGACGACGACGACGACGACGATGATGATGATGATGATGATGGTGGTGGCGGTGTTGATGTTCATGCTCATGCTGATGTCGATATTGATGCTGGTTTCGGTGATGCTGATGATGGCGACGACGAGGATGCCAATATTGATGTTGATGATGATGCTGCTGATGCTAATGATAACATGGAAAGGATGATGTTAATGATTTGACTGCAAAAACAATGATGATGGTGAATCTGATATCATGATGACGACGATTATGATGACGACGACGATTCTGATGACGGCGACGATATGGCCCGATGATGACGACGATGTTGATGATTATGAAGATGATGACGATGATGGTTACGACGATGATGATGATGCTGACGATGATGATGATGATGATGATGCTGACCCTTACTGTGATGATGATGGTGATGATGCAGACGATGCTGACGATGGTGATGGTTTTGACGATGGTGATGGTGGTGGTGCTGACGCTGACGGTGATGATGGTGATGATGATGATAGTGATGGTCTTGATGTTGATGCTGATGTTGGTGATTGTACTGGTGATGGTGGTGACGACGACTACTACGAGGATGCTCATGATGATGACGCTGATGATGTTGGTGATGCTGCTGATGCTGATGATACGGATTATGCAAATGATTAACGGCGACAACGACGATGATGGTAAATCTGATCTGATGATGACGAGGATTATGATGACGGCGACGATGATGATGATGGTGCTGATGATGGTCCGATGATGACGGCGATGATGATAATGATGACGATGATGGTGACGACGACGATGTCGTCGACCATGGTGATGATGCGGATGATGATAATGCTGACTCTTATGGTGATCACGATGATGATGATGATGATGATGATGGTGATGATGACGAGTACGATGATGACGCTGATGCTGATGATGACGATGGTGATGGTGGTGACGCTGACGCTGATGGTGATGATGATGATGACGGTGATGACGAGGATGATGATGTTGATGACGGTGATGATGATGATGCTGATGATGATGATGATGATGATGTTGACGCTTGTGGTGATGATGCTGATGGTGATGCTGATAATGCTGATGATGCTGACGGAGATACTATTGACGGTGTTGATGCTGATGTTGATGTTGATGCAACTTCTGGTGACGATGATGACGGTGACGACGAGGATGTCAATGATGCTGCTGATGATGATGCTTCTGCTGATGTTGATGATAATGATGATGGTAATGCTTTGGCGACGAAAGCGATGATGATGGTGAACATAATCTGATGATGGCAATGGTTCTGAGTCTGATCAAGACGACGATGATGATGGTCAGATCATGATGACGACGATGGTGATGATTATGGTGACGATGATAGTGACAACGACGAGGTCGACGCTGATGACGATGCTGATGATGATGCTGACGCTTATGGTGATGATGCTGATGATGACGGTGCTGATGTCGACGCTGAGGATGATGGTGATGATCATGACGACGGTGATGGTGGTGATGTTGACGCTCATGGTGATGATGATGCTGATGGTGGTGATGGTGTTGATGTTGATGCTGATGTTGATGTCGATGATGGTAGTGGTGGTGACGACGACGACGTGGATGCCGATGATGATGCTGCTGATGCTGACGGTAATGATGATGCTAGTGATTCGAAGACGAATGACGACATCAGTGATGATGGTGAAATTGCTATGATGATGACGGCGGTCATGATGATGACGACGACGATCATGATGATGATGGTGGTGATTGCCATGGTCCGACGATGACGACGTTGATGATTATGATGCCAATGATGGTGACGACGGCGACGACGACGCTGACGATGAGGTTGATGCTGATGATGCTGATGATGCTGATTGTGTTGATGATGATGACGATTCTGATGCTGGCGGTGATGGTGATGACGATTTTGATGGTGGTGATGACGTTCCTTCTGATGCGGATGATGATGGAAGTAATCCTGACGCTGATGGTGATGATGATGGTGATGATGATAGTGACGATAATGATGTTGATGTTTTGTCGTTGAGGATGGTACTGGTGATGGGGATGCTGACGACGGCGGGGATGCTGATCCTGATTTTGCTGATGAGGCTGATGTTGCTGACGGTGATGATAATGATCATGCTGATGACGATGATGGTGATGATGGTGACGATGATGGTGACGACGACAATAATGATCAGGATTATGGTGCTGCTGATGATGACGACGATGATGATGATGGTGATGATGACGATGATGATGGCGGTGATGATGATTATTATGCTGATGATGATGGTGGATGGTGATGATGTTGGTGATGATGGTGATTGTGGTGGTGATGATGCTGACGATGATGCTGATGATGATTATGCTGACGATGCTGATGATGGTGGTGGTGATGGTGATGGTGATGGTGATGATGATGATTATGAGGATGATAATGATGATGATGATGATGATGATGATGATGATGATGATGATGATGATGATGATGATGATGATGATTATGATGATGATGATGATGATGATGATGATGATGATGATGGCGATGGCGATGGCGATGGTGATGATGTTGATGATGCTGTTGTTGATGATCATGATGATGATGTTGAAGATGTGGGGGATCAGTGAGCGTGCCCAGCTTAACGTGTCTGTACACTGAAGTCTGCAGACTCCCGCTGCTTTCGTCAGCTCTCCAATTCTATTTTTCGATCGCCCGCTTCGATCTTTGTGCTTACAGTTCGTTTCCCCTTTCCTTCGGGATGGATCGTGAGTGTCAGAGGCACGCGCGTCGTCTTTCAAACAGTACGTGTTCCTCGCTTGCTGTTTGTGCAACAGCCTGGTGGTTCCCCATTTGCAGCACAGTCAGCACTGATAGTAAGGATGAGCGACTTTCCAAGATTTCCATTGCATTCTTTCCCTTCGTCCCATCCCTCGCCGTTTTCGTTGGCCGCGCCCCGCTCGAAAAGTGCCGGCATGGCCTTCCAAGGCCTTTGCATCTTTATCGTGCATTTTTACATCATGATCTGTGATTACACCTTGACGGGGTCGTCCAACCAGAGTGTCCTTGATACTGTGTTTGCTCTCTGAATTTGCCTGGCACGGATGAGGAGATGTCGGAGCGAGGAAGGAAAAGGAGCAGTGAGGACTAGGTGGCAGAGGGTGGTGATGATGATCAGGAAGAGGAAGCGGAAGAGGAGGAAGAGGAGGCGGGGAAGGAGGAGCAGGAGGATGAGCAAAGAGACGAGGAGGAGGAGCTGAAGAAACAGGAGGAGGAGGACAAGTCAACCTCCCCCTCTCCCTCCCCATCCGCCCAATCCATCTCCGGCGCGCGCCAGCGGCAGCGGGAAGAGTAGCCTCATCCGCACTTTCTACATGGCGCTCCACCAGACCAGGGCCGTCCCGGCGGACTTTGCGGACCCGGGCTCCCAGAGAGGGCAGCGGCAGAGGCGGGTGGACAGATGGGCAGGGCGGGTGTAAGCGGGGGGGGCAGGAGGAGGATAAGGAGGAGCTTGAGAAGGAGGGGAGAAGGGGAGGAGTAGAATAAGGAGGAGAAGGAGGAGGAGCAGGAGGAGGAGGAGGAGGAGGAGGAGGAGGAGATGGAGGAGGATGGGGCAAGAGGTCCACAAGGTGAAGGAGGAGACTCTCAAATTTTGATGATGATGCTGATGATGATACAGATAGTAATGATGATGATGTTCATGATGATGATGATGATGATGATGATGATGATGATGATGATGATGATGCTGATGATGATGATGATGGTGATGATGATGATGCATATGTTGATGATGCAGATGATGACGAAAATTCTCCTGACGATGATGACGATGAGGGTGCTGATGATGCTGACGATGGTGATGGTGGTGATGATGGTGATTATGATGATCCTGATGATGATGATGGTTGTGATGTTGATTCGTTAGAGACTACAAGCTTGTCCTCAAGGCGGAGCAATGATGGTGATGTTGAGGATGGTGATGATGCTGCTGATGATGATAATGATGACGATGCTGACGATAATCATGATTGTGATGATACTGCTGATGATGATGCTGTTGCTGATGATGGTGATGCTGATGCTGATGCTCTTGCTGCTGCTGATGATGATGATGAGGGCTCCTGCTGCTGACGATGGTGATGATGATGCTGCTGCTGATGATGCTGATGATGATGATGATTATGATGATGATGATGATGCTGCTGATGATGATGAATCTGGTGGCGTTCATGATGTTGCTGGTGCGTATGCTGATGATTGTGATGGTGGTGATTATGAGGATGCTGATGTTGCTGATGATGATGCTGCTGCTGATGATGCTGCTGATGCTGATGATGATGCTGGTGTTGATGAGGTCGATCATGCTGCAGATGATGATGCTCATGATGATGATGATGATGATGATGATGATGATGATGATGATGATGATGATGATGCTGATGATGATGATGATGATGATGCCGATGCTGATGCTGATGATGTTTTGTTTTGATTTGTTGTTTGTTTTTCGACGATGGTGCTGATGCGGATGATGAGGGAGACGATGTTGCTGATGATGCTGCTGTTGATGATGATGCTGCTGGTGATGATGATGATGATGATCATGATGATGATGCTGATGTTGATGATGGTGATGGTGATGGTGATGTTGATGGTGAGTGATGGTGATGGTGATGGTGATGGTGATGGTGATGATGATGCGGATGCTGATGATGATGCTGATGCTGCTGATGATGATGAGGAGGAGGAGGAGGAGGAGGAGGAGGAGGAGGAGGAGGTCCGTAGCCATTTTGGCTCAAGTTAAAACCGCTTGCCCTGGCGGCTGGAGGTTTGGTTGCTGCTGAGGGGCTGGCCCGAGGCCCCGCAGGTTTTCATCCAACGATCCACACAGGAGCGTCAAGCGCTGTGTGTCGCATTTTGGCCACGTCCTTCAGTCATTTCTTCGGGTGCCGCTACCTGGTAGCGCGCGAGAGATGGGTGAGCATGGGACCCAGATGTCAAGTGCAAGCGCAGTTGCAGCTCAGATCGAGGCGGCGCCAACCTTCCCGTCGCAAGAAGTCCTCCCTCCTCGTGGCGTCCAGCGCCCACGTGCGAAAGGTGCTGCAGCTGATGACGCTCGTCGCAGCCGCAGTCGCAGTGATGAACGCCGTGGAAGTATCCATGCTCCACCACATGAGGGAGACGACAACTTCGAGGACTGCATCGGGACCGAGGTGGTGGAGTTGCGCGCCTATGTTGACGACGCCAAGCGTAGCCTCCCCGAGGCGATCGCAGGCATCCAGTCCAGCGTCGCCGCCCTCGCCAACACGGTTAATACTTCATGTTCTACACTGTCCCGACAGGTCGAATCCCGTCTCGCCAGCGTTGAAGACAAACAGAAGAAGACGGACACCATGGTCGACCAGATGGAGCGCACGATTCAGGAGCTGCAGACCATTTTGGGAGTTATGCAGTCAGAAGCCCCACCGACCCCATCGATCACGCAGTCAGCTTCCTTCGATCGGCCGCCAGACTCAGCCATCATCGTCGCCAGGACCAGAACGAACACGGCCAAGCAGAACATCCTCCCCGCGTTGCGGAACTGGCTGCTCAGGGCCACGCTCTCTCCTGAGAACATCCAGCTCGAAGCTGAACCAGTCGCTCGTCGATTCCAGATTCGTATCAAGGGCTCAGCCCAATATGCCGCTCGGAAGGTCGCCATGGCTCTCTCAGCGTTGCGAACGGGACCGCAGTCATGGGAACGGTTCCGCACTAACGACGCCGATGGGGTGCTTGTCGAGATCCATGTCCCGGCCGACAAATCCGCATGCCAGGTCAAGAATAAGGAGTTGCTGCTCAAACAGATCCGCCGAGAGGTCGGGCAGATCCTTGGTGAGCACAGGGTCTTCGCGAACAAGGAGAGAGGCGAGCTGTCAGTGCAGTGGAAGCCGATCCTCCGAGTCGAGCCCGTCCAGAACGATAGACCCAAGATCGAGTGGGCGATGGATCGCGTCATGTCGCTCGGCATCGACCGCCAGAGGATCGAGGTCGCCATCGAGCCCTTCCTGCAGGGCCCAGTACCCGTCCTGTGGAGCGGGTAGTACTCTCGCGAGGCAGTGGCAAGGACTTCTCCCTCATCCCCGCCCTCTCTCCTTTGCTTCATGGAATGCCGCATCCCTCATCCACCGCGCCCTTTTCCTGCGCACTCGCAGGTTCTCCTACCTCAGCTGCTAGTTCCAAGTGCTGTAGTCAGCGTTCAGGAGGCAAGAGGGTCCCCGGCAGAGCTCCAGGATTTCCTCTACCACTTACATGGGCCAGTTCAAGCTTTCCACTCTTTCCTCCCTGCCTTCCCGCACCCCGCGGGCGGCGTCACCACGTTCCTTCCCGACTTCTCCGACAGCCATCCCCAGAATATCCCAGAGGTTGCCCCCGAGGTCCTGGTCATTGGCAGAGTTTTGAAAATCGCAATCAAGTTTGCGAACAACGTCGGGTTACGGCACTACAACGTACATAACTACGGGTTCGAGGCCTCCGAGAGGGACTCCATCTTAGCCAAGATTGACAACGACCTCCAATGGGCTCAGGAAACACCTTGTCAAAGAGTTTTGGTTGTCCTGGGTGACTTCAATGTTTCCGCTGTTCCCCCGGTTCCTGCTGTTCGATTGGACTCTGGAGAACAGGGCCTTCCAGGACCCCTCAAGTTTCCCAGGCTCAGGAGTGGAGAGGAGCCCGCAACGCGTCTTGGGAAAGGTGCTTCCAATCGCTCGTGGAGTTCTCAGTGGTGGAACCCACGCATTATTGTGCGGCCACCGACATGCTTGCGGCTTTGGACAGCATTTTTACGTCGCTGCCAGGTTGGGCGCTGACGCAGCTCGCCGCCGCAGCCCAGGTCAAGGGATTCCCAGATGTGCTCCACCGAACAGGTCTATCTGATCACGCCGCCATCACTGCCCAACTGGCTGCTCGTAGTGCTCTCCCAGAGGCCCAGAAAGGCATTCACCCCGAGGTCTACAAGAGCCCGCGTTGCACTGAATATTTAGACCGTGTAATGAAGGCGGCGGACGCATCTGAGTTGACCCCCCCGCTCTTGCTGGACTTCCACAAAAAGATGATGAAAGATGCCGCTCGAGCTGCTCGTGGCCAGATCGTGTTCGGAAAGCCGCGCTCGTCCCTGGCCCGTCTTATTGTGCTGAAATCGATCAGTCGAGCCGTTGTTCGCCAGGACTACGTTCTCGCTGATAAGCTTTTTCGTTCGCGCCCGATCGTCGCCAGGTTTCTCGAGATCGACCCGATTCATAATTCTGTCCAGCAAGTGCGGGCCAGCGAGTTTTTGGAGCTGACCAACGCTCTGAATGAGGAGGCCAACCAGCGCGCTCATGGCGACGCTCGTGCCCAACTTCAGGCTGCTGGTTCTGACCGAGAGCGAGCTAAACTTCGCAGGAAACTCCGAGGGCTTCAGAGACGGGGGCGAATGTGGGGCCAGTTTAGTCGGCGTCTGTGTCTTCGGGGACTTCAATTGGCCGATCGTGTTGTTCAAGAACCCGCTCAGGTATGAGAAGGTTTAGCTGCTCGAGGGCCAGGTCTTTGTCGCCGAGCCCGTAGACGAGGTTGCCGCTGCCAGGGGGTGGTCCTCATACCTAAGGGCGGTGATGGGGGAGCTGATGGGGATGAACTTGTTCGGGAACCAGCAGCGGTGAGCCCCCTAGGATTGAAAAAAACGCTGATTGTAAAATCCTCACTAGCGCGTGTATTTCTCCTTTGTCGAGGCGTGCCCCCGAGATAGTGGGCCCTATCCAAAGGGGTTTTATTAGCGGGAGGAACCAGGGGGATAACATTCTTGAGCTGGATGCGTGGTCGAGAGCTTCGGGCCTCTCTGAGATTTCGGAAATCGACCTGCCGATTCTCGTTTCATATGACTATGGTCAGGCTTTTCCGTCTATTGCGCACTCGTGGATTTTTAGAGTCTTTGAATCTCGGCGTCTCCTTCCCCCCTCCTTGGCTTCCTTCGCCTCATTTACACTCGCCTTGCCTGCTCTGGGCAGATCAGCGGCGATTATTTGATGATGTTCTTTATTTCTTCTGGGATCGTGCAAGGCTGTCCAGCCTCTGGTGTGCTGTGCGCCATAGCCGCGAATCCTTTGATGCTTCATTTTAATGTTCAGATCAACGCTCCGCAGCTCGGAGTAGTCAGGTTTTGCGCAGACGATGTTGGCGCTGTGCTTTTTAAACTCGCCGCCCTGAAAATATGGCCATTGTGTTGGGAGCGGCCGCTCGTGTCTCCAGCCTGCGCCTCAAATTCAAGAAGTGTTTCATTGTTCCGCTCTCAGGAAGATCCCAGCCAGAGCTAGCTCGTGCGGTCAAAAAGTGGATCACCCAGAACTTGCCTGCATGGCCTGAATTTGACGTTTCGCCCTGTCTCAAGTACCTCGGGATGTGGATGGGCCCAGCGGTCACCCAAGAATCCTGGAAGCGCCCGCAAGACAAATATTGTGTTCGCAGCTGCCTGCTGGCTGAAGCCCGCTCGCCACCTGTGCTAGCGGCAGCGCTCTACAATTCACGTGTGATCTCGGCCATTTCCTACGTCTCGCAGTTCCTCCTCCTCCCCGCTTCTTCCCTGAGATCTGAACACGCCGCCCTGGCTGCAGTGTATGCCTCGCCGTTCTGCCGACTGTCCAGAGCAGATGCGTTCAATCTCCACGCGTGGAACGGCCCGCGCTTCCAGAGCGCTCTAATTCAAAACTTGGCGTCGTTGATGCGGGCCGCCATTGAGACCTTCCCGCGCTGGCCCGAGTTTTATGCTGTGCTGAAGGATCGTGCCTCTCTCCACTTGCCTCTGGTCACCATTCTTAGGGGTAGGCTCTCCCCGAGTTTCTGGGTCTCGAGTTCGTTCGTTGAAATCCTGCGTGGGGCCTCCCTAGGTTTCCCGACGGTTCCTGCGTGGGGCCTTGGCGGCGCCGCAGCCCTCCGAGCTGCTGGTGCGGCTCTCGCCGACCCCAAAAAGCGCCTCCAGAAAGAAGTGAGATCGGCCCTGGCAGCCCAGTTATTCCCTGACCGTCTTCATGGGACTTTTTTTCCCGACGTTTAAAGAAATGCCCCCCCCCCCCCCCCGCAAGCATGCCGAAATCGACGCAATAAATGGGGAAACGGTCCGCATATCCTTGAAGAAGATGCCTCCGACGCAAGCCCACGCTGCCATCAAAACGTTGGCTGGGGCTTGTTGCTGCACTTCGGCCTTCCTGAAGAATTCTCCATGTCTCCTCGGATGTTGCGGATCCAAAGACTCGATTTCCCATTATGTAGTATGTAATCGTTTTACATCTACCCTCGCCTTTGTCCTCCATGCGGCTGCCCTCAATGCTTGCCCCCTCACTCGTCTTGGGCTTCTTGATCCCACGCCTGCGTCCCCTGGCCGCCTCTCAAACAAAGGGAGGAGGAGGATCAAGAGGAGGACGATGAGGAGGAAGGGGAGGAGGAGGAGGAGAAGCAGGGGGTGGAGGAGGAGGAGGCGGATGCTGGTGATGGTTATGGTGACCGCGGTGGTGATGGTGATATTCATGGTGAGATAGTGGTGGTGGTGGTGGTGGTGGTGGTGGTGGTGAGGAGGAGGACGAGGAGGAGGAGGATATGGAGTTGGAGGAGGATGTAGGGTGGCTGGCGCGGCGCCCGAGACCGAGGACAGGATAATCGTCAAGGATACCGCGATGAACGAGGGCACCCTGAAGTACGTGTCCGCAATCATCGCGCGACGCCTGGCGGCCAGTGCCGCTCGGGGTGCCCCCGTCCTCCTGGCCACTTCCCTGTGGCTTCCTTGGCCCGCCTTCCTCGGCCCGCCGGCCGCTGCCGTCACCGTGGCTTCTCCTCTCTTTCCCCCTCCCCCCCCCCCCGCCCTCCTCCCTTCCTCCTCCCCCGTACCTCCGCTCTCTCCCTCTTCCTGCTCCCCCCCCTCCTCTCCTCCTCCTCCTCCTCCTCCTCCTCCTCCTCCTCCTCCTCCTCCTCTCTCTTCCTCCTCCTCCTCCTCCTCCTTCTCCTCCTCTTTGTCCTCTTCCTCCTCCTCCTCCTCTTCATCCTCCTCCTCTGTAGCCATTCTGGCTCGAGCCGCTCACAGCGGGCGAAACCGCTATTGTTCAAACCAGCTCGGCGTGCACTTGCATCCGGGGCTAGCGTGGCTGGAGGTTTCCTGCAATGGAGTTTGCGAACAGCGCGGGCGGAGTCGCAGAGTTGTGAATCCCAGATGCAGCGGCAGCGGCGCCCCAAGGCGGAGCGCACGACGCAGTCGACCTCGGTCTTGCGGCAGCCAGAGCTCAGGCAGCGGAGCTGCGGTCGGCGCTTGCCAAGCTGCGTGCGCAGCACGAGGCGATCCTCAGGGCGATTGGGGGCATGGAGCTGGCTCAGCGGCTGCTGGCGGTGGCTCCTGCCCGTACATCGCTCCTGCAGGGCCTTCACCCCGTGCCCGCCGTCAAGCTGCGCAGGGACGTGGTATTGCTGTCTGAAGCGTGTGGGCTAAATGTTTGGCTCGCCAGCGAACGCCAGCTGCGAGCGGCGAGGCGTGGGACGCGCCTTGGCCCCAAGCGGCTGGTGCTGGAGAGCAGCCAGGAGCCCGTCCATCAATAGTGAGATCTGCATCGCAGAGGTCTCCCCAGGCTTGGATGCGGTTGCCGCGGGTGGTCGCCAGCCCAGAGCGCAGGGAGGACTTCTGTGCCACCGTGTGCGGCGACCATGTTCGGGATGGGGTCGTGAACGACTCGGGGCCCCACGTGCGCGGCGACCGGGTGAGAGATGATGTTGTATCCATGGGTATTGGTACGCGGTGCACGTGTGGTGCCACTGCGTTTTCCTCATGTTATTCGTCGCGCTGGGGCAATTTCATCTCTCGACCGTGAGCCTCATGACTGACAAGCTAAAAGGACAATTAGCCCAGCCCTTCGAGAGCAGGCTGGCGAGGCTCAAGGGTTCGGAGTATCATGATGTGGATGGCCTTCTTCGTGACCTGGGCGCTGCCATTTGCGAGGTTGGTGATAGCGCGGGTACTTCAAGCACGGTCAGCCAGCGTCCTGCAAACAGGGAGCGGGTCCCCTTGGTAGAAGGCTCCGAAAGGGTGCAGCCAGACGAAGACGAGCGGAGTCTTCGGTACTGGCATGGATCGTCGTGGAGTGCCGGGCCGACTGCTGGCGGAGGCAGGTGGGCGACCCATGTGAAGGGTAAGGACCGCCGCAGCCGCATAATGCAGGGCTGTGAGCAGCGCCTTTGACAGGTGCCGTGCCACTCTGGCTCCCAGGAAGCTCGCCACGACCAAGTGCCTGAACAAGTTCATTAAGTTGATTCTGCATGGCATTGCGGGCAGCATTCGGTTGCGATCCACCGCCTGAGCCACCTTTGCCCCCTCTTTCGCCACCACCTTTTTTTTTTTTTCCATCGGACGCACTGTTGGCCAAGTGCTTCTACTGGTCCTCCAATGCACGATGCTTCTGGGTCGGCGCGGGATTGCCACAGCGGCAATGGAGCCTGCTGGCCCAGTTGTGAGCCGCTCCGCACTTCCCACAAGCCCACTCAGGCTTGCGAGGGCCAGCTACCACATCCTTAGTCATGGACTGCTCTGTCACTCCGAAATGGATGCTGTGACGCCTGGGCAGGCTGACACAGAGTTGCGATGAAACTCCTTGGGTCAGCCGCGGACTAGCAGTAACCACGTGATTCCCCTGAGAACCTGGCATCTTGAGCCAAACTGGCTACGGCAGGGGGAGGAGGAGGAGGAGGCGGAGCAGGAGGAGGAGGAGGAGGAGGAGTGGAAGAAGGAGGAGGAGGAGGAGGAGGAGGAGGAGGAGGAGGGGGAGGAGGAGGAGGAGGAGGAAGAGGAGGAGGAGGAGGAGGGGGAACGACAGGGGAATGGATGCGTGGGAGGGGGCGCTAGGAGGGGGCAGGATAGGGGGAAAGGGGAAAGAGGATCTGGTGGGAGGAGGAGGAAGTAGAGGAGGAGGATGAGGATGATGCTGATGATTATGATGATAATGATGATGCTGCTGATGATGCTGATTATGATGCTGATGATGATGCTGATGATGATGACTATGATGCTGATTGTGGTGATGATAATGCTAATGATGGTGATGCTGATGCTGATGATGATGACGATGCTGACGATGCTGATGATGGTGGCGATGATGCTGCTGATAATATATGATGATGTTGATGTTGTTGTTGATGCTGCTGATGATGACGAGGATGATGCTGATACTGATGATGATGCTGCTGCTGATGATGATGATGCTGATGCTGTTGCTGATGATGATGTTGATGTTGAGTATGATGATGGTGATGATGAGGATGTTGCTGCTGCTGATGATGATGATGATGCTGCTGCTGCTGATGATGATGATGATGCTGATGCTGATGCTGCTACTGCTGATGCTGACGACGCTGTTGATGCTGATGCCGATGCTGCTGATGATGATGATGATGATGATGATGATGATGATGATGATGAGGATGGTGATGCCGATGAATATGATAATGCTGCTGATGATGCTGCTGCTGATGCTGATGATGATGCTGATGATCATGATGATGATGCCGATGATGCTGATGCTGATGATGATGCTGATGATGATGCTGCTGGTGACGTTGATGATGATGCTGATGATGGTGATGCTGATGGTGATTATGATGGTGATGATGATGCTGCTGCTGATGATGATGATGATGATGATGATGATGATGATGATGATGATTCTGATGATGATGATGATGATGATGATGATGATGATGATAATAATGATGATGATGATACGGAGGAGGAGGGGGATGACGTGAGGGGGAGGAGGAACCGATGGAGTGATATCCTGGGAGCGATGCAGGCAGGCGGGAATGGGGGAAGGAGCGGGATTGAGGGGTCCCCTGCGACATCCCTCGCTCCTCGTCTGGTGGGCCCTGTGTCAGTGCCTCGCTGGGTGCCTTGGGCCCCTTGGTTCGGTCCTAGATAGAGGGCCTGACGTTTTGAGGAGGATAGGTCAGGAGGGAGGAGGACGGACGGAGCAGGAGGAGGGGGTGCAGGATTAGAGCGATGATGACTTCTCCAGAATGATGCGGCTCACACTTTTGATTATGATGATGCTGCTGCTGATGCTCATGATGATGCTGATGATGATGATGATACTGATAATGAAAATGATGAGGATGATGATGATGAGGAGGAGGAGGAGGAGGAGGATGAGGATGAGGATGAAGATGAGGATGAGGATGAGGATGATGGATCATGATGATGATGATGATAGTGGTGGTGGTGAGGATGATACCTTTGATGGTGATGGCGATGATGAGGATGATGCTGATGCTGCGACTGCTGGTGATGGTGGTGTTGCTGCTGCTGCGGATGCTGCTGCTGATGATAATGATGATGCTGATGCTGCTGCTGCTGCTGATGATGATGATGATGTTGATGGTGAGGATGATGATGTTGATGATGATACTGCTGATGTGATGTGACGACGTGGTGGTGGTGGTGATGGTGGTGCTGTTGATGATGAAATTGACGCGGCTCAACATGATGCATGCTGATTGGGACGATGACGCTGATGATGATGATGCCGCTGTTGATAGTAATGATGTTCATGACAATCAATCTATTGTTGACGATGATTATGATGATGACAACGACGCGGAGGATGAGGATGCTGCTGCTGATGATGACGATGATACTGCTGCTGATGATGATGATGATGCTGGTGAGGAGGATGATGCTGCTGATGATGCTGCTGATGATGGTGGTGGTGGTTGTGATGATGATGCTGATGATGATGATGATGATAATGATGATGATGCTGATGATGATGCTGATGATGCAGCTGGTGATGATGATGATTACGATCTTGGTGATAAGGATGATGATAATGATCTGCTGATGTTGTAGTGATATCATACGATCTGATAATGGCAATGATGGTTGGGATGATGATGCGGATGAGGGACGAAAGGGACTGGGCGAAGGGGGAGGGACGAGGAGGTGGGGAAGGAGGTGGAGGATGAGGAGGACGAGGATGACGAGGCGGAGACAGAGAGAGAGAGAGAGAGAAGGAGAGGAGAAGGATGAGGAGAAGGATGAGGAGAAGGAGGAGGAGGAGGAAGCAGAGGGAGGAGGTTGATGAGGAAGGAGAAGTGAGAGGAGCGCCCTTGTCGCCTCCCGTGGGGAGCCCGCCGGATCAAGCCCGCGAAGCTGGACCACAGGGGCGCCACGATCTCCTCCGCCATCATGTGCCACGACACCAGAGGTCGCCCTGGAGGGGGCGGGGATGAGAGGGTTCGAGGAAGGGCCAGGCTAAAACGACGCGAAGATCGGGACAAAATCGGCTCGGGATAACTCGAAATCTCTGAGAATCGGCGGGCTTGGAGGATGTATTGGGCGCCGCGGCCGCTCCAGAGCGTTCCGGAACGTTCTGAGAGCGCTCCGGAACGCTCTGGAGCGATTTATCCCGATCCTAGCCCTGTTTTAATGAACGGGTTCGAGGAAGGGCCAGGCGGGAGAGCACCTTCAGGCAATCGCAAACATTGATCGATGGGTCCATTTCCACGGGGAATCGCGGATTTCCGCCGCCGAGCGAGGCGGCACCGGCCGCATTTCGGGGAGGGCGCCTTCCCCCGATCCATACTTGCGCGCCCCCGATATCCGTGCTCCTGCAGACGTGAACGCATTGCCGTCGTCCTCTTTGTCTCCAACGTCGTCGGCAATGCCGCCGCCGACGACTGCTGTTACCAAGGGCGCCCTCGAGGGCGCGAAGTTATTCGCGCTTCGCGGTTCGGCTCCGATCCCTCCTCATCCTCCTCTTCTCCCCTGGGAGGCGGCGCGAGAGCGCGAAGTTATTCGCACTTCGCGCTTCGCGCAGCGCGAAGCGCGAAGTTGGGAGCCCGTGGTTACGCCAGCGTTGACTACGTCCTGCTGCTGCTGCCGCTGCTACTGCTATTAGGTCCGCGGGGGGTCTAACCCCCTCCTCTGCCCGCCTCTGCAGCGTCGTCGGCCTCCTTACGCTCTCGAGGACAGCTGGCCTTTTGAACACGTCCACTTGGAGTCTCGTGTCTCCGCTTGAAGGTTGAGGCAGATCTCAGGTGGTTTACGTCCAGGATTCTTCAAACGTAGATTTGGCAGCCTGCTTGAATAGCGCGCGTCACTTTGAATATCTCGGTGGAGTTTACCCAGGAATCTACAAGCCCCACCAGTCAACACATTATGCGTGTATTTTGAAGAAGCAACTCACCGCCGCCCCCTGCCGTCTGGCAAGCGCCTCTATGGCTAAACGTTGGGCCCCAGCTTGGCCAAGGTATCGGACTATGGGTTCACCCCGCCGCTCTGGATACTCTTGTGGGACATTTGGGGGAGGATGAGAGGGAGGAGGAGAAGGAGGAGGAGGAGGAAAGCTCTTGAAAGCATCTTGGGGCAGTCTTGGGGCCTCCTGCAGGCCTCCTGGGGGCTTCTTGGGGGCGTCTTGGGAGCTTCCTTGGGCCTCTTGGGAGTCTTTAGGGGATTCCTTGGGGCCTCTTTGGCCGTCTGAGGACGTTCCTGGCCCGTCTGTCGCCGTCGGAAGCAGTCTCGGGGGCCTCTCTGACTCGACTTGGGGCTTTCTTGAGGCACTTTACGGTCGTCTTAGAAACCATTTTGGGCGTCTTGGAGGCCTCTTGGGCCGCCTCGGGGCCCTCTTGGGGCCGTCTTGGGGGCATCTTGGGCCGTCATAGGGCCATCTTGGAGGCCTCTTGGGCGATTTTTGGGCGACCGTTGGGGCTCTTGGGCCGTCTCGGGCCGTCGCAAGGCCGGCACATAGTCAATACAAACATTCTTCAACAACTTGAGACACTCAGTGATTGTTGCCTTTTCATGCCTTCCTGCGTGCACTTCTGAGACCCTCTTGGGCCGTCTTGGAGGCTTCCTGGGAGCATATTGTGCCGTCTTGGGCCACTTTGAGGCCATCTTAGGCAGTTTGGGGTGCATCTTGGATCGTCTTTGAGGTCTCTTGGGGCCATCCTAGCCGTCTTGGAGGCTATCTTGGCCGTCTTGGAAGCCATCTTGGCAGTCTTGCAGGCATCTTGGGCCATCTTGGCTGTCTTAAGAGGCGATACGGCAATTTGTTTTGCGGATCGCGCGGCCTTCCTGGTGGCTTGCGCAAAGGACGGAAGCTTCAGGGGGAATTCTTTTGGAACACAACCAACACCAAACACCGCAAGAAATTCACCACGCCAGGCATCCATATGGCAAGACCACAGGTGGCGGCTGATCGAATGTCCTTCGGCCCATCCCGCCACCGTGCGTGGGCTGTGGGCATATAGCCTATTGGATGTTCGTTGGGTTCTCGTGGGAGGCCGTTCGGGGGCCTCTTGGAGGCAGTTTGGACGTCTCTTGTGGGCCTCTGTTGGGCCCTTTAGGGGCTTCTGTGGGCCTCTTGGAGGCCTTTTGGGGGCCTCCTGGGGCCTCCTAGGCGCATCCTGAGGACTCCTGGGGGCCATGTTAGGCTGACAGCTAAATTGTTCGGTTCGTGTTCCCTCTCTGTGGCCCCTCTTGGGGCCGTTTGGGGGCCCCAAGTAGGCACACGTGGATACGTCTTTCTCCCTCTCTCTCTCTTTGTCTGTCTGTTTTGTCGTCCTCTCTCACACTCTCGCCATCTCTATATATATATATATATAGATAGATAGTTACATGTACATATGTCTTCACGAACATCTCAATCATGCAGTCTCTCCTCGTCTCCCCCGCTGTCCTTAGGCAGCGGGCATGTGTGTACAGGTATGGGCGCTGAGAGGTTTCAGAGAGAACGGCAGAGAGACAGAGGGAGTGACCGACCGCAACAAGCTTAGTAGAGGAAACGGGAACAGCGAGAGAGAGAGAGGGCTACAGAGAGAGAGAGAGAGAGAACGAAAGGAAGAGAGAGAGAGAGAGATAGAGAACTATATATATATAGAGAGAGAGAGAGAGAGAGAGAGAGAGAGAGAGAGAGAGAGAGAAAGAGAGAGAGAGAGAGAGAGTGAAAGAGAGAGAGAGAGAGAGAGAAATCACTGTGGCCATTTGAGGACCGAGAGGGTGCCTTCTGACAGGGGAAGACAAGGAGTGGCATGCCGTGGCGCAGGCAGGAACAGGGTGTCGCTTGCGATTCGGAGGACGACGGTGACGGCAGCGAATGGGAGCAGAGGGAGGAGCAGTGAGGGTTGTGATGGAAGGGGTGGGCAGGATGAGGAGGGCGGGGCGGAGCAGGAATGGGACATGAACGGAGGGCGAGAGGGAGAGGGGGAAGACGACACGGAGGAGCGACGAGCTGGCGTGACCATTGCAGTTTGAATCCTGGTCTTCCTCCTCCTGCTCCTCCTTGTCCTGCTCCGCTTCCTCCTTCCCCTCGGTCCTCCTCGCTCGTCGTCCTCGTCCCCGCTTCCTCGCGTGTCCTTCCCATTCCTCTTTCTGCGCTCCTCCCTCGACCATTCCTCGTCCTCCGTGTGGTCTGCCGACCGGCCGCGGCGGGCCAGCCCGCTGGCCATCCGCGGAAGCGCGGTTCGGGGTGGAAGACAGGCGGCTGCGGCGGAATTATTGCCACAATGCATCAAACAGGGGATTGCGCGCGGACGCGCGCCTGGGCAGACCGCCCAATTCCAAACGTTTTGCATCGGAGCATGGCGGGTCGGCTCGAAGATTGGAGATTGGAGGCGTCAGGGGTCTCGTGCCCGCGATTCTTCCAAGCAGGCCGATTCTTCAAAGCAGGCTGCCAATCGCCTGTTTGAGGGATTTTCGTAGGAAGTTCGCTGGATTCTTGAATCTTAACCGTCAAGCAGACACGGATTGTCTAAGCAGTCGGTGAACCGCCTGTTGGAATCTGATTCTCGAAGTTTGCTTCACGCACGAAGTTGGACGCGGGAACGCGCTTGGGCAGACCGCTTCTTTTGAACGTTTTGCTCTGGAGCATGGGGCATCGGTAAGAAATTGAAGATTGAAGATCTCGGGGGGCTTACGCTTGCGATTATTTGAGCAGGTTGCCAATCGCCGCTTTGCGTGACTATCGCTGCAAATCCGCTGGATTTTCCAATTTTCCAATCTTCAAACACAAGTTATTTATTCAGGCGGGCACTGCAGCGCCTGCTTGAATCTTTCTTCTCGCTGCCTTTCTGAACTATCACAGTGCGTCCGCTGGAAGCTTCACTTTTCAATCTCAAAACGTACGCTGAGTGCGAAAGTAGACTGCGAAGCGCCGGATGGAGGCTCCCTCGCAAAGCAGCCGCTCGCCGCCTGCTTGAAGAATTGCCGCAACAAGCCCGCTGGCATTTCCAGCCCAACATCTTCAAACGCACACGCTCCCCATTCCAAACCGACGGTTCCCAGAATTTGGAGCCCTTGTCCAGAGGAAGGAATGGAAAGAGAGAGAGGAGAGAGAGAGAGAGAGAGAGAGAGAGAGAGAAGCAGATACAAAACAGCAGGGTACAGACATGTGGGGCAGAGACGTGGGGCGAGTGTAACATTCAAGGTCCCCCTTCTGCCGCCGTATTCGTCCTTCTTCAACTTCGTCCGCCGGCAAAAGAGGAGGAGGATAGACCCCCCTTCCTTGCTATTACTACCGCTACTACTACATTATCATTTCCTCTTGGGCCCGACCCCCCCACCCCCCGTGATGGATGTTACGGGTGGGGGGGGATAACGAAGCTCTGTGGAATCGGAGATCTGAAACGGGCATTTTTTTTGGTTGCTGTCGTCGCCACGGTCGGAACGCGCTCCAAGGACGGGCCAGCGGTCGTTTTTGAAGAGTGGGGAACAGCAGCAACGGCTCGAGGAGGAAGAAGGGAATGGGGAGGATGACAACAGAGGTCGGATCGGGGAGCGGGGGGGGGTGCAGAATGAGGAGGGACGACAGAGGATGGGGCTACTGCTGCGTCATCGTGTTCTGCACACTATCAAGCATTTGCGAGCGTGGATGCCCATTTGCCACACACCCGCATGCGATGAACCTGCACTCATACATACTGTTTGGCAAATCGTGTGTTTAAGCGCGTGGGGCAGAGTTGGAGCAGAGCGAATCAAACATGGATGTGCTCGTTCGTCCACCCGAGGGCACATCTGGATGGACGAGCGCGAGCAAAAGCAGCTCGGCATCATTTTGGATGGCGCCGTCAAGGACGACTCCCTTGTCCAGCAGCGGAACTACAGGACTCGCGGCCTTTCCTTGGCCCTTCCTGCGAGTTGCCAGTTCGACCCTCAAACAACAATCTTGGAGGCGCCATCGGGTGGAGAGGGGGGAGAGGTCGAAGGAGAAGCGGATGATGATGATGATGATGATGATGACGATGATGATGATGATGATGATGATGATGATGATGATGATGATGATGATGATGATGATGATGATGATGATGACGATGACGATGATGATGATGATGATGATTCTGATGATGATGATGATGATGATGATGATGATGATGATGCTGATGATGATGATGATGATGATGATGATGATGATGATGATGATGATGATGATGATGCTGATGAACAGGAGGAGGAGGAGCAGCAGCAGGATGAGACACCAGAGGCATAATAGAGGAGGAGGAGGAGGTGGAGGAGGAGGTGGAGGAGGAGGAGGAGCAAGTGGAGAAGAAGGACATGGAGGCGTATTTTTATTGTCAACATTCTGGTTATTATTACCAGTGTACTCTAAGATAGCTTCCTCTACTGTGGAGTATTCGAGAGGGTACTCTGGGTTCTTAGGGTTCGTTTCGATTCCTGGGATTCGATTCGATTCGACTTCGATGGCTTCCGATTCCGATTCGATCCGACTTCGGGTTCCGTTTTGGATTTCGATTTGTCCATGGATGCTTGCTCCGTTGCCGATTTCCGCTGATTCGACTTCTCCTGACTCGGCCGCGTAGTTTCCGCCGATCCGACTCGTTTCGATCGCCGATCCGGATTCTCGATTCCACCCTGGGCCCTCCTGGGCTCTCGCTCGGCGGTTGCCCGGTGGGCGCCGTGTGAGCGCCCCTGTGCGTTGGCCGGCTTGCCCCAGTGTTCGGCCGGTCGGTAGGCTTCGTGGGCGCTCTGTGCGCCAGCTGGGCTCTCTCTCAGAGGGCGGCCGGTGGTCACTACCCACCAGACCACCCCAGCCCAAGCCGAAGGTCTCCATTAGCCCTCCAGTTCCAGCGGGGGATGGGGGAGGGAGGAGGCAGGAGGGAGGAGGGAGGAGGGACGACGACGGCGACGACGTGGGGTCGGGCAACATTGACGAAACACACGGAGCCCGCACCACCCCCAAGCCCGAGGTTCGGGATCAAATTCGGGTCTTCGGGTTGGGCTGGGGTGGTCTGGTGGGCAGTCCGGTGGACGCCCGCCGAGACCGCCAGGGATCAATCGCCTCGGCGGTCAAAGGTCGGTCGGCTTTGGCAGCCGCCTGGGCATCGTTGTGTTTCCAGGAAGTTTCTCGGGGGCAACGACAGGGGTGACAGGCACAGGGGGGGGATGCATCGACCCCCAATCGACCATGGATCGCCGGTAGGGGGTCTGACAGCCCCAACCCGCCAAGGAGGGTGCGGATCCACTGTCGGGGGCCTGTCGCCTGTCTGTCTGCGGTGTGTTGCCGACTCCAAGTCTATGCATCCCCCACTGTGCCAGCCCCCCCCCTATCGTTCGTTGTCCCCCAGAGTTTTTCATCATGACTCAGTTCAGGAGGGGAAACACACAGACACAATGAATCGTCGATCCCCAGGAAACTATGAGAAAATATGGGAAGTGGGGGGGAAGACGCAACCCCAGGAAATATGGAAAAACAAATATGGGAAATCCTGTTACTTGTGTGTCATTTTTTTGTGTGCCCCAGGGCCCCTTCAGCTGTGCCAGTCCCCCCCTTTTGTTGTCCCCCAGTCTTTCATCACGACTCGGTGCGGTACTCTCGGGGCGAGTCTGCATGGCTTTTCTCCCCCCGGGCCTGGGCCGCGCGCGCCCCGTCCACGGGTTCGAGCGCCCCTGCCGTGGGCGCCCGGGACGGGTGCACCAGCAGTCCTGCGCGGGTGCGCTCGCCGCCGGTGGTTCCAAGATGGGGCCCTGGCGGATGGAGGCCTAAGGATAGGAAGGGATCCGAGGTCGGGCCGGACGACAGGGGGGGATTGGGCAAGGGTGGGCTACGAAATTTGCTGCACGCAGCTGGTTTCGGCCTCACCGAGGGGCCCATTCCTCGACGCATAGCCGCCCCCGGCGCCGGGAGGAGCCGGGAAAATCAGCCACGTGAGCTGATTATCACCCCCCCCCTTTGCTATTCCCCCCTGTCGCCCGACCCGACAAGGGTGGAGTTACTTTGCTTGAGGCACCTCGTCCTCAGGACGCCCATCTCTCAGGACCCCATCTTTGAACCACCGATGTCCTTGGTTCAGGCCAGAGGCAACGCCCCAGGTCCTCGAGGGGAACGCCGCATCCGTTGACGTCGTGGACCGCGGGACACGTCACCGCGCTCAGGATACGGACGAGGCCGCGGCGGCACCGGTCCGTCGCCACGATCGAAGCAGCACGAGACCTGGAGGCGCGGCCTGCCAAACCGAAGGGCGCTGTGTGCAGCTGTCCCAGCAGTCGGTGCGCAGACGTCCTGCTTGCAGATTGCCGCAAGCATCGAAGAAGAACAAACGGCATCATCATGAATTTGGCGCTCCGCGCGGATTTCTTGGATCCGCGCTGGGCCCCCTCGCGGCGCCCCCAGCGCCGCCCCTGGCGCGCTCCGCGCGCCAGGGAGGGGTGTCCAAGAGATCGCATGTTCCGCTCCGCTGCAGGGGGTCTCTTATATATGTAAGCGTTCGGAGACCGAACTCAACCCCAACAAAGGCATGACGACGAGTGGCCAACCAAGACGGCCGTGCAAAGCTGCTCGCGCCGTCACCGACACAGAATCGGCCGATGCTGAACGATCTGGCGTTTTTGCAGGGGTAGACCTTTCAAGGTCGAACCATCCCCGCGGTGTCAGAAACCGACGCCTAAGTTGGCATATCACTAACCCTGCCGTAGGCGGACGGGGCTTTCAGATGGTGCCCCGAGTGGATTCACAAGGGCCCACCCTTGCTCCCCTCCTCTGCCCCCTGTCTGTGGTCGCCGGGCAGCCTGGCAACCTGGCAGAGGCGAGGGGTGCGGCGTGGCTGCAGCGGGAACCCATGCCAAGAGACGCCCTTCTGGCTTCCGGGGTGCCCTTGCCGTCTCGGGCTCCGATGGTTTTGCTCTGGAAGGCGTGGCGTTCCCACACCACGAACGACTGGACGTCCTGGGGTCTCAGGGGCTGGGTCTCGTGTGGAAGGTTTCTCGTGGTCTGGCCTCCACCGTAGAGGAGAGGAGGCTTTCCCCTGCCGGACCCCGGGCCCTGCTGTGCACCTCCTCGTCCTGACGTGTGTTGTGCGTGCCCCTCGCCCTCCCTGCTCTGCTCCTTCTGCTGCTCGTCCTTGTTGTCCTCCTCCTTTTCGTTTTCCCCTCCTGATGGGCCTGTTTTCCACCACCACCACCACCATAAGTTGGAGGGGGGAAGCAGGTGGAGGAGGAGGAGGAGGAGGAGGAGGAGGAGGAGGAAGAGGGGGAGGAGGAGGAGGAGGAGGAGGAGGAGGAGGAGGAGGAGGAGGAGGAGGAGGAGGAGGAGGAGGACCCCCTTCCCCCTGCAACTTATGGTGGTGGTGGTGGTGGAAAATAGGCCCATCACCTCCTCCTTCCTCTTCGCCCCCCCTGTCCCTCTTCCCGCTCCCGTCTTCCCTGCCCCTGCCTGAAGCACATCCTTGCCCCTGTGGTTACCCACATCCCTGTCCGTGCCTGAAGCACATCCTGGAGCCTTCGCCTCTCTCGATGCCGATCTCACGGGTGCCCTTCCTTTTCGAGGACGCATCCCGGAGATTGTCATCGCCTCTTGGCTCGCCGATGTTGGGGATGGGGACAGCTCCGAGGCTGTGCACTCTCTTCCGCTGCACCGTCTTTCCGCCCCGATCCTTTTTCCCTTTCGCCTCTGCCCCTTGCCCATCCCACTTCGCTGCCCCTCCACCAGGCACTCCCGCTCCCGCTCCCCGCCCTTTTTTTTATGTGTGTGTGTGTGTGTTTCATTCTTTGTGTGTTTTGACGGTTTTTGTAGACACGAACAGGGAAACGACGAACGACACAAACACAATGACTCTGAGGTCCGCGCGGGCTTCTCGCGGCGCCTCCGGCGCCGCCCCCGGCGTGCTCCGCCGTGGCCCGGGCTCGCCGTGGCCAGAAAAGCCGCTGTCGGCGGCGAGCGGGGGGGGGGTAGCGAGGAGGAGGATCGGGGTTGGACAGACCTCCTAGCCTGACACGTCGATTGAGGAGTTGGCCGTCTTCGGTTCGCGAGAGGGCGTCGCGGCCGTCATCTTTTGCGGGTGCAGGTCCGTCGGTTTCGGCCCCAGGCTGTTTTCACTAAGGGGAGGTTCACGAAAGGGAGGTTTGTCCACCGCCGAGAGAAGGCTTCCTCAGGAGGCGGCGGGACTTCGCGGAAGGCGGAAGCCCCCGCGCCTTCAAAGAATCTGTCGTCCGTCTGGCTTCTAGGGGAAGGCTCAGACAAAAAAACAACTTCTCGCGAGGCCCGGGGGCTCCCGAGACTCCTGAGGAGGTTCGCCCCTCCTCGCTTCCCCCCCCCCTCTCGCTCGCCGCCGACGCTGTGCTTCTTGGCCAGCCTTCCCTGGAACGGCACGACGACCGCAGCACGCTCCTCCCCCTCCTGCCGCTCCCCTGATCATTTGAAAGGCAATGTAAGCTTTAGACGCAAGCAGATGCTCTATGGGTCAAGCTAAAGCCGATTTTACTCTCCCGAGCACCCCCGCCGTGTGCAGCCGCGCGGCGCGCAGATACGCCCGCCTGCTCTACGAGTTCTGGCGCAAGGACGTGGACCTCTTTCCCGCCGAGATCCTCGTCCGCAGGGAGCGGGCGGGGAGGGAAGCAGAGCAGCCTGGGGAGGGGCAGGACGAGGAGGAGCTGGAGGCTTGGTGTGCTCGTGCGTTCCCGCGTTTCGGCCCCCTCGGCCTCGGTGCTGGTGTAAGGCTGGTTCGCTCGATCATGCTGTGTGTGTGTGTGTGTGTGTGTGTGTGTGTGTGTCTCGCGTTGCCTTGCTGCCTCTATCTCTCTTTCTGGCCCATGCGTTGCTCCGTAGGTGCTTCGTCATTGCAGCCAATTCTGCGGCGTTGTGTGCGACGGGATGTTGATTCAGTTTCCATTGGATCTAGTTGCCTCGCCAGCGCGTTGCGTCGCGGGGTGCCCTTTCTGCTTCGCTTGGGCCCATGGTGTGTACATACATTTCGCTGACGTCTGTGGTCATTCACAGTGGGCGAACAAGTCAGATTTCTCAATTGTTCCCCAAACAGTGTTTGCATTTCGGGGTTCTTTTCTTTCCAAGCAGTGATGCACCAAGGGTTTCTGACTTGTTTTCTAACCAATTGGCTGCAGTTTCTGGGTTCTTTGGATGGTGGCCGCCAGAGGTCGCCTCCTGGGCGCCTCGTGCGTTGGCGGGGGCTTCCTGTTTTTTTCCAACCCTCCCTTAGTTGAGTTCTCGTTTTGACTAGAGCAGCGGGGTCTTCTCCTTCTCCTCGCCCCCCCCCGCTCTCCTCGCGGCTCTCTCCGCTCGGATCCCGGTTGGGGGCGCTGCGAAGTGTGAAACCGTTGCCATTTCGGGAGGGCTGCCGGGGCAGCCCGCACAGTGGGGCCATTCCTCCTCCTCCTCTTCCTCCTCCTCCTCCTACTGCTCCTCCTCCTCCTTCTCCTCCTCCTCCTCCTCCTCCTCCTCCTCCTCCTCCTCCTCCTCCTCCTCCTCCCCCTCCTCCTCCTCCCCCTCCTCCTCCTCCTCCTCCTCCTCCTCCTCCTCCTCCTCCTCCTCCTCCTCCTCCTCCTCCTCCTACACGCAGATCCAGCCGGGAACTCGCCATCCCTGGGGGGCTGCGAAGGGTGAAACTGTCGCCATTCGTGAGGGTTGCTGCGGGAGCCAGCCAGCACAGTGGGGCCACACGCAGATCCAACCGGGACCTCGCCGTCCCAGGGGGGCTGCAAAGGGTGGAACTGTCGCCACTTGTGAGGGCTGCTGCGGGGGGGGTGGGCAGCACAGTGGGGCCACACGCAGAGTCAGCGCGAGCTGATTCGTCTCAGCTTGCTTCTGCCCTGTTGCACTTTGTTACTAGGTGGGCTGGGCCACGGTACCACGACCCGCTTTTTCGCACCCCCGTCCTTGTGCTTGCCACTCTGCAACTGCGGCAATCGAGGCAGCCGGTTACCCAACCTCCCAGCTGCTGCCTTTGGCGCCGACTACATGGACTGACGGCCGGGCTTCGTTCCCCCCCGCGACTTCGAGGGGGCGCCCCACGGGGGGGCCCGCCGCTGTTCGGCTCGAGACCGCGCCGCGCGACCTGCCGGAGCGGCGGCCTGCCTGCTCTCGACCCGAGGAGGCGTTGGAAAAGACAACATGCCTTGGCCTCTTCCCATCGCCATCTCCCACTTTCACCCCCCTCGGATGCAACTCCTGGGAGGTCAAGTTCTGATTTTGCCCTGGCCCGAAATCCCGCTTGATCCCGCTTGATCCCGCTTAATCCCGCTTAATCCCGCTCAATCCGGCTGAATCCCGCTTACACCCGTTTAATCCAGTTTAATCCGAGGCCCACTCAGGCGTAACGGCCCCCCAATGGGGCTTAATCCTCTTTATCCTTCCGACAAAAACCTCCCAGTAGTTGCCTCCTGAATCCCCGCCATGCTAATTTTGCACCAACGTGACATGGCGATCTCGTCTCTCATTTGCTGTGTCTGATCATTAGCCCCGTCTTTGGCAAGCTGGCACGTCTGGGCCCGCCCATGAGAGATGCCGCGCGCAAGAAGAGAGAAGCGCGGCGGGGCCGCGCCCCTCCTGCCATCCTCGGCGGGGAAGGGGGCAGAGAGAAAGCGAGGGAAGGGAGAGGCAGGGCAGGGGTACCCAGACCTCGGCGCCCAGGCACAATAAGAGCCGCGGCGTCGAGCAGGTCGCCGCCAGAGAGCTCCGGGACCCCCTCCCGCGGAGCCCCCCGAGCTGGGCCGGCCCGGCGCGCCGCGAGCGCGCCGCCGTGCGTCTTTTTCGCGATGGCCCGAGGTCTCTGCGTGGCGAGGGGCGGAGGGGGGCCCGGGGCCAGACCTCCCAGGGCAAGATGTCTCCCAACCGACCTGTGGCGTTGGGTCTCCGTGATGTTGGAGGAGGAGGAGGAGGAGGAGGAGGAGGAGGAGGACGAGGAGGACGAAGAGGGGGAGGAGAAGGGGGAGGAGGAGGAGGAGGAGGAGGAGGAGGAGGAGGAGGAGGAGGAGGAGGAGGAGGAGGAGGAGGAGGAGGAGGAGGAGGAGGAGGAGGAGGAGGGGGAGCAGGCGGAGGAGCAGGACGAGGGGTTGAAGGAACGGAGGAGAAGGACTGCCCGGCGTTCCTTCTCCTCCCTCCCTCCTCCCGTCCTCCTTCCTCCCATCCCTGCATCTGCCCCCATTTGGACCTTTCCTTCCCCAGTCCGTCTATCAATCCTGAGCAGCTTCTGACGGCCCCGCACCCCAGAGCGGGCTCGAGGAGGCCGACACTGATGAGAGCATCGTATGCCGAGTTCTATGATGGAAAGCGTGGAGGCCTCGCACGGCGCGCAATAGTTGCATCATCTGGTCGGCACGTCCGCCTCGTCAGATACGGACGACGTTCGGCCGACGTAGATCCGACGTAGATCCGATGTACACCAGGCGTAATTCCGACGATCCTACGCATGAGGCCTCCGGGATTTTCCTCATGACGAATGTTTGGAGTCTCCATGGGTCTGGGGAAGGGGAGGGGAACACTCTGGCCACGAAGCCCCACGCGGTGATATTCGTCTTCGACGGGTCCATGGAGGAGATCCCGGACGGCGAGGAGGACCGCGTGCATTTGGTCCGCCTTCCTTTCTCCCTCCCCTCCCCTCCCTCCCCGTTTCCGCCCTCCCCGCCCTTCCCCTCCCCTCCCGCTCCCTTTCCCCTCCCCTCCCCTTCCCCCCCCCCCCTTCCTTTTCCCCTTCCCTCTCCTCCCTCCCTGCTCCCCCCCCCTTGCCCTCTCCCTCCTTCTTCTCGTCGCCGCTTCGTGCCTGCGAGGTGCGTCGACCGCGGGGGGTCTCCGAGCAGCCTCTCCTGCCGAGCCGCGGGCCTGGGCCTGGCGTGGGGCGGAGGCGCCTGCCGAGGAGGGGTCTTCGCACGCGCGCCCCCCCGCCCGCCCTGCCCAGGGCTGGCGGCCCATCTTCCAGAGCAGTCGGAGCAGGCTCGCTCCCGAGCCCTCCCTGGGCCACCCCGCCGAAGAGGACATCGCGGCCGAGGCTTCAGCATGCCCGTCCCACGGGAGCACTCGTGCGGTCCTTCATGCGGGCCTTTGAGCGTCCCCACACACTCCTGGCGGTTTGGGGGGATCTCGTTCGGGACTCGTCGGAGTTAGTCCACACTTGGACGAGACGTGGACGAGCTCTGGACGAAACATGGACGGAAGAGCGAAGAGGGGTGGTCGGGAACTGGACGAACTTTGGTCGAGCTCACGTTTATGATAGGGCCGTGGACGTTCAAAGAGGCTCGCGCGAAGGCTCGCTCAAGAGCTCATTGGTATCACTCCCCTTCCCTCCCCAGCTCCTGAGTCAGGCGATCGCAAACATGGATCAAAGGGGGCGTGGATTAGCGACGGGTCCCATTTCCATGGGAAATCGCGGATTGCCGCCGCCGAACGAGGCGGCGCTGGCCGCATTTGGGGGAGGGGACCTCCCCCGATCCATGGATTAGGTGACCGCGCGCCAAATCCATGAATGGCTAACCCATGTTTGCGCGCCCTCGACAAGAGCTCATTGGCATCTTTCCCCTTCCCTCCCCAGCTCCGGAGGAGGCTCTCCCTGGGTGGTGGGCCTGGCAGAGGTCCCCCACGGCCTCCAGGGCTGCCCGAGCCTGACCCTGCTCCCCTGACCACTCCGGCCAACCTCGGGAGGGGAACAACTCACACAAACACAGATCATCGTCGACTCCCAGGAAGATATGGGAAAGTATAGGAAGCGGGGGGGAAGACGACCACCCAGAATATATATATATATATGTGTGTGTGTGATCTTGGGATTTGTGTGTATTGATTCGTGTGCCCCTGGGCCCCTTCAAGCGAGTCCTTTTCGATTCGCTGCAGCACTCCCTAGCCGTCTCCCCGCCCCCTTCCGCCCGTCCCGGGCTTCGGCGACGAGACCCGAATCCGACTAGCCCCATCGATCGAGGATACGCGTTGCGAAATCCGAGCCCTACCCCTTCCTCCCATCATTTCAGGTTGGGGCAGCGTTGGCGCATTCTGTCTCGGATCTCAGGCGCCTGAATCTCCCGAAGAATTTCCTTTTGTGTTCGGAGTAATTGTTCGTCAGGGCTCCTGCCCAGTGAGTGATGGCTTTGTGTTGCCAGGCCTGCGGCGCCAGACTGGAAGGGTAAAAAGCAGGGGCCTTCGGAGTTTACAACGTAAAAGCACGAGGTTGCGCCATATGGTGCGCCATGGGTTGCTCCAGGCACCCCGCAATCCACCACATCGTCCGTTCCTCATACAGGTCGTGCAATTAGGCTACGCCAGACACCATCCAGTCTACCAGCGTCCGTTGCGTAATTGGTGTACTATTGCGGCAGAGGCTGAGGCCATGGAATGTGCCAGGCACCTCGCAATCACCAGTAGCGTCCGTTGCTTCTTGGAGGGGCGCCATCGGTTGCGCCAGGCACCCTGCAATGCACCAAATCGCTTGTTCACCGCGCGGCCAGATCTGAGCCGTCATCGTCGTCTCTGTCCTCGTCGTCGCCGTCGCCGTCGCCGTCATCGTCGCCGTCGTCGTTGTTGTCCTCGTCCTCGTCGTCGTTGTTTTACTCGTCGTCGTCCCTTTGTGAGGGCTTCGTCGCCTCGGTCTGCGCACGGGCCGTGCCCAGCCAGAAGCGAGGCAGGCTAAGGCTGCACACAGGCCCTTCCCGAACCCAAACGGGCGGATGCCTCCCACCTCGCTGACTTGCTCTCCCTCCCAGCTCCCTCCCTCCCCCCTTTCCCTTGTTTCGGCGGCGAGTTAGGGGTGGAAGTGAGAAGGAGAAGGCCTTCTCAGAAGGTGGCGGGACGTTTCAGAAGCCCTCGCGCCTTCTTTGAGGTGTTTTTTGTCGGGGAAGGCTCGGACAACTTGTCAGAAGTCCGGGGGACCTCCGAGCCTTCTGAGAGGGCCCGCCACTTCTCACACCTCCCTCCCGCGCTCGCCGCCGGTCCATGCGATCGACGGGGGGACCGGAAAGAGCGGGGACGGCGACCGATAGCAGTTCCTGAACGTTTTTCGTGCGATCGCATGCATAGATCAACGGGGTGTGGATGAGCGACGGGTCCCGTTTCCATGGGGAGTCACAGATTTCCGCCGCCGAACGAGGCGGCACCGACCGCATTTGGGGGAGGGCACCTCCTCAGATCCATGGATTTGGCCACCGCGCGCCAAATCCATGGATGGCTAATACATGTGCGCGCGCCCCCGAGTTCTGCACGGCTCGCCATCGGAATGTCGCCAGGGATCGAGGCGGGCGGTCGGTTTTGGGCAGCAGCTGCCGTGAGGCACCGTGCCCGTGTTGTCCGCACCCAGCTCCGGCGTGCCAGCCCTTCCCGCTCTCCCGGCTCCCTCCCGCTCGTTGCCCTCCCAGATGCGGGCAGGATGCCTATCCGTGTCCAGTGCGTCTCGGACTTTGACTTTCTTGGGAAGGGGCGCCACGAGGCCGAGGCGCACTGGATGTGGATAAAGATCGAGGCTCCAGGACTCCAGGGGTCGAACTTGTCCATATCCAGTGCGCCTCGGTTTTCTCTGGAAGGGAGCCCGAAACTGGTCCTAAGCATATCCTTACCCGGGGCCGTCCTGGATGAAAAGGGCCGTCCGCTGGATTGGCGCTTGCCACTGCGCCCGATCAGCCTGCCGCGTGCGCGCTGCTTCAGCATCTGCGCGTCAGGACGCAATGACACGCTGACTGGCAGGTTGTTTGATTGCGGCGACATGCCCTGGTTTGCGTCAGGGACGTTTGGGGGTATCGGGGGTCTCCGAGGGGTTTAGAACAGCATCGGAGTGGTGGTGCCTGTCCCATTTGGGGACAGGCACCACCGCTCCGTTGCGTTTTGGGCCTGCCCGCAGGAGCGTCGTTGCAATCTCACGCTCCCCTGGTGGCCGTTGCGGCCGCTTTCGGGAGAGCTCTCAGGGACCGCTCGTTTGCCCGAGAGCGATATCGGCCAAACGCCAACTCGACTAGGTGCGGGTATGTCTCCGGGGGTACCATCAATGTGCGTCGGCGACGGTACCCCCCGACTCGTACCTGGACCTAGCTGGGGTGACGCCAAGCAGGTTTTCTAGGGAGCAACCCCTGGCAACCGCGCCGGGCGTTCGGGGCCCCATGCGTTTGGGGCGAGCGTGGGATTGCACCGGCGCCCGCCCATGACACCCAGGAAGCACTTTGCGCGTCGAGCCCCAAACGCTTGGTTGTGCGCCTTCGTGGGCGCACCTCCGAACGAGCTATTCTAGCCCGGGAGCGACCAATGCGTGGTCGGCCATTCTGCCGATTGGAACGCACGCGCCTTCGGTACCAGCGGATGCCCAGCAAAGACAGCGTCCTGTAGAATGTTCCATGGGCCGTCGCATCTGCACTTGTGCAACCGCCCGTCGCTGCGGCGTGTCGCTCCCCCCGCCCCTTGTCACCCCGCCTGGGTAAGGTTACGGGTGTGTTTCGCGTTCGAGATCAATACTGCAGTTGATATGGACAGAAACGTTGCCCGCACCAGAGTTTTCCTGACGCTCCTCGGGTCCGCGGAGGCCTCTGCACGCGTCGGGAGGCCCCCTAGTGGGGCCGGAGGCCTCGAGCTTCGAGCCTGCAGCCTCGACCCCCTCTTCCCTCCTCCCTCCCCGCTTCCCCCTGCTCCCTGCTCCCTCCCCGGTCCTCGCCCCCTCCCCCCCCTCGCTCCCTCCTGCCTCCTCCCCTCTTTCGCACTCTCCCCGGGCACTGTGCATGTTAACCTTCGGTTTCCGCGCTGCTGTTTTTAGCGTTCCGCGCAGTCCGCCGCCCTCTTCTCTCTGTGCGCTGGGCCGCCTGGGAGTCGGGGCTCGGCCTCCCTCCCGTCGCTGGGGAGAGCGGCGGTCGAAACAGCCTCTCAGGGTGAGCGCCTTCCGCACGACGCCGCACACACTGCGGCAAGGCCGAGTCCGACCGACCACCCCCCCCCTGCGTCGAGAGGAGACGGGGCTCCCCTCACCCTCCGCCTTCCGCCGCCGCGGCCGCCATTGCGGCTTCCGCCGAGGCCGCAGCAGCGGTTTCGGCGGCGGCGGCGTCCGCCGCGGCGCGGCACCTGCCGCGCGGAAGGTGCGGAAGGTGGAGGGCGAGGGTCAGAGGAGCAAGCGCTACCGATACCGCTGCCCTTCGTCCGTTTTCCCATGTCCCGGCCTCCTCGGAGACCCTCGTCCCCACCGCTGGATTCTCCTCGGACTCGTGTCAGGGCGCACCCCGGGAGAGGCCCGGGGAGCAGCGGTATCGGTACTTGTTGGTTTCCCCAGGGGCGGTGTCGAACGTGGCAGTCGTGCGCCCGCCGCCCCAGGGCAGGCCGAGCAAACCGAGCACGCTCCGAGCGCAGCCGCTGGGCGACGACGACCCGCGAGGTCTCCTGCAGGCCAGAGGCCCCCCCCAGCAGGGCCGAACGTTTCCAACACAAGGGCGCCCTCGAGGGCGCGAAGTTATTCGCGCTTCGCGGTTCGCGGTTCGGCTCCGATTCCTCCGCATCCTCCTCTTCTCCTTTGGGAGGCGGCGCGAAGCGCGAAGTGGGGAGCCCTTGCCCCAGCAGGGCCGAAAGTTTCCAACACCTCGAGCCTCGATCCTCCAACCTCGACTCCCTCCTGAGCCGAGCTCTCGGGCCTAGAAGGAGTCACAAGCCTTCTGCATACAGCGGGGGCGCGCATCAAGAAAGCATCTACTTTTCGTCAGGGTATCCTGGGTTCCTTTGCTCCGCGCGTTGCGCGTTGACTTCCCGCGGCCGTTGAAGGAGCTGCTGCGTTCAGGGTGCTCCAGGTTTCCCCTCAGGTGCACCTCGCGCGCGGGTTCTCAGGGTTGGGTTTCTTGCGAGGGTTCCTTGCGGCCGCGCCCGCACTGTAGACTGTGCAGTATCTCGCCGTGATTGTGGCCAACTGTGGCAAATAACTTCTCACGCGCGCGCGGAGTCTTGTTTTCCAACCGTAGCCTTAGGCGAACTCGAATGAGCAGGCGGCCATCTATCCATTCTCCCTCCTCTCATGGCGCACGGCCCCTACCATCCGAAAACGCACGGTGTCCGAAAACGTACCCGAAGCCAGTGACCGAACACTTCGGGCGCAGGTTTCGGTCACACTCGGGCAGATGTTCGGGCACCGGTCCAGCAGAGCAACCCGCTGATAGAGACGAGATTACACGCTCGTCGCTCCGGTCGCTCAATGCAGGTATGTCTGGATGCCCAGGTTCCAATCTATTTCAAGCGCCTTCCTACTTCAAGATTTGATCTGGTTCTGCTGTGTTTTGTCGTTCTCCGGAAGGGACTGAACCCAATCTACTCTATCCGCCTTCCTACTTAATGTTTTCACCTACTTCTTCCGATCGACGTGTACGTGACTCTTTCCCCCCCCTTTGCGTTGCTAGGAGACCCGCTTCTACCGCGAGATCATCCAGATGCTGCGGGCGAAGGGCTACCTGTACCCGCAGGTTGTCCTCACGCGGATCGATCGCGTCGAGGAGAACCTCGTGCAGGCCTCCCCTTTGGCGCGCACGCGCCGTGAGCGTGAGCACGACAGTGCGCCGTCGGTCCTAACACCCCGCCGGCCGTGGGTGGGAGGATTGCGGCAGGAGGGGGGTGGAGGGAGGGAGGGAGGGAGGGAGGAGGGAGGGCGGAAGGAGAGGAGGGAGAAGAGGGGGACGAGAGAGGGAAAGGAGAGAGAGGAGAGATGTGGGAGAGGGATGTGTTGAGGGAGGAGGGTGGAGGGATGGGAGGAAGGAACAGGGAGGGAGGGACGAGGGAGGGGGGGGTAGTCAGCGCGGGAGGGAGAGTCACGATGAGGGACTCGGAGGGACGAAGGACGAGGAGTTTTGGAGGAGGGAGCTGGCAGGAGGAGGAGGAGGCGGAGGAGGAGCAGGAAGAGGAGGAGGTTTTTTGCGGATGATGATGCGTATGACGATGATGGCGGTGATGACGATGAAAACCAGTAGCAGCATGGGGAGTATAATGAGCCAGACGGTTAGACGGGACTGGGAGGAAGTATGTAGTTGTTGATGATGCAGTTGATGACGACCACGAGGCGATGGTAAGTATGATGTGCAGGTTGTTCATGATGATGGCACTCGAAATGAAGATACAAATGAGGCTCATGCGGCTGCTGATGGGAGAAGGCGGATACAGATCGGCAGAGTGAGGAGGGGAGGGAGCAGCGAGGTTTGCGTCCGTCTGTTTCGAAGGCGCATGCCAGATCTGCAAGCATTTCAAACTCCCGGCCGTGCATATTGGTATGTCAGTGCCACACGAGCAAGGTAAAACAACAACACAACACGTATGGTTCGAACGTGCGGTAATACAATATTTTCGAATCGCAGGTATGGGACAAGTACGAACCTACATACGGAGGCTACCCATTTGCAGGGTTTCCGTTTTCCTCTGAGATTAAAGGTTCGTATGTGTTTGGTTTCGCATAGGATTCGTTTTCGTTTCTTGTTTCCAGAGTTTGAATCGGCGTTCGTTTGTTCGATCCTGTGTTGGGTTCTCGCTTTGAACAAAGCACTGTGGTCTCCACCTCGTCTCCCGCCTCCCATTTCCTTCCTGCATCCCCCTGCGATGCTCCCTGGGAGTCTTTCGAGACCCTGCAGGTCCCTGGTGGACTGCGAACTGCGAAGTTTCGCCACTTCCGTGGCTTCCTGGCAGTCACGTCGGAGTAGGGAAACACGCACACTAAGCCGAGACCTCGCGGCTCCCTGGGGGATTGCAAATTGCGCATTTGTCGCCACTTCCGCGGGCTCCTGGCAGGCACCGCAGAGTATCGGGAGTAGGCACACACAGCCGAGACCTCGCAGCTCTCTGGGAGGCTTCGAAGTGCGCGACTGTCGACACTTCCGTGGGCTCCTCGGAGGCACGGCGGAGTGGGCGAGTACGCACCTAGCCGAGACTTCCAGCTCCCTGGGGGGCTGCGACTTGCGCAACCGTCGCCACTTCCGTGAGCTCCCAGGATGCTCGGCGGGGTCGGGGAGTACGCACACCCAGCCGAGACTTCCTGGCGGGCTGCGAAGTGCGCAACTGTCGCCACTCCGGTGGGTTCCTGGGAGGGACGGCGGAGTATGGGGGGTAAGCACACCCAAATGAGACCTCGCAGCTCCCTGGTGGTCGCCACCTTCGTGGGTTTCTGGGGGGGGGGGGGGCAGCGGAGTGGGGGAGTACGCGCATCCAGCCGAAGTTTCGCAGCTCCCAGGGGGTCAGCGACCTGCGCAATCTTCGCCATGTTCGTGTGCTCCTGGGTGCCCCAGCGGAGTTGGGGAGTACGCGCATCCAGCCGAGGCATTTCGGCCCAAAAGGGGCAGCGGCCTGCGCAACTGGCTCCACATCCGTGGGCGCTTGGGAGGCCCAGCGGGGCAGGGGAGTACGCGCGTCCAGCCGAGACTCGCTGCTCCCTGGGGGGCTGCGACGTGCGCAATTGTCGTCACGTTGGTGACCCTAACGGGGGGGCAGCGGAGTTGGGGTGTACGCAGACCCAGCCGAGTCCTCGCGGGTCCCTGGGGGGGTTCGAAGTGTGAAAGTGTTGCCGTTGTCCTGGGTTCTTGGAGGTGCAGCGGAGCAGATTGCCCTCCCACCGTGTTCTTTTGTAAAGAGCGTCCATTTGAATGATCGAGTCGCGTGGAGAAGGGGTTGGGTACGTCTCGGTACTCTGTTTTGTTTTCTTTCCACTTCGGATTCGCATTCGTATGTGCCTTGTGCATGTTACTGACCGTACATTTTGTTTGTGTGTTGTCACCCTCGCGTTTTCGATTCGCATTTTTTCCGCACTCGTTCTGTCGATTCGCGTTTTTGTCGAGCTCGAAGCCTGACATTAGCGAAGTCGAAGGAATCACCAGTCTGCACGACGCGGGAACTTACCTTGCACACACCAGTCGAGGATAGCAGCTAACAGGTTTTGATGCGGATGAGGAGGTGTGTGATCTTGATGACGCTGTTGCCGATGCTGGTGAAGATGATGGTGGTGCAGATGGCGACGTCGACGACAATGTTGATGATGGTGATCACGATGACGATGTTGTAACTGAGGACGATACTGCGGACGCTGATGATGCTGCAGAGGATGACAATGATATTGATGCTGCTGCTACTGATGCTGATGATGACGACGATGATGATTCTATACTGTTGCTACGTGCCATGTCGTGTATGATGATGTTGATGCTGATGATGTTGCTATTGCTGCTGCTGCTGATGCTCATGATGATTATGATGATGATGATGACGATGCTGATGCTGACGATGCTGACGATGATGGTGGTGATACTGATGATGCAGCTGCTGCTGATGATGATGTTGCTACTGATGCTGATGATAAAGATGCTGCTTGTGCTGATGATGCTGTTGCTGATTGATGTTGACCATGATGCTGATGCTGATGCTGATGATGATGCTGATGCTGATGATGATGATGATGATGATGATGATGATGATGATGATGATGGCCACGAGTATCTATGACGCTGAGGAGGATACTGGTGAATATTCTGCTGCTGTTGATGATGGTGATGATGGTGATGATGTTGATGTTGGTGAGGTGGAGGAGCAGGCGGATGACTATGATAAAAGATGAGGAGGAGGATACAGGACGAGTAGAAGTTGTATGATGGGGCAGGATTTGTCACATTGTGAGGGTGGGACAGGGTGGGCGAGTCGGAACAGGGGTAGGAGGAGCACTCGTGCACGCGTGGGGGCAGGAGGACGGCCAGGGCGATGGACAGGATGAAGGACAAGGAAGGATCATGATGCTTATGATGGTGATTACGATGATGATGCTGATGCTGGTGCTGATGCTGATGCTGATGATGGTGATGGTGACAGATGCTTCTGATAGTGCTGCTGCTGCTGATGATGATGGGGATGATGATGAGATTGTGGAGGAGGACGTGGAGCTGGAGGGTGAGGAGGCGTTGTGGGGAGAGCCGGAAGAGGAGGAGAAGGTGGACCAGTGTCGAACCGAACACGAACCAACGAGGTTGCAGCAGCCCCTCCCTCCAAGTCCCCGCTTCATTTGCTCCCACGCGAGTTTTCTTTCCACTAAGTCGGGCCTGTCCCTCTACAGGAGGAATATTCAAAGATATTAACAAAGATAGTCTGGGGACGATGTTTCCAATGTTTTGATTATTTTTGGGCATTTTTTGGGCGTATTTTTATTTCTCCGCCCACAATCCGCCTGTAGGAGGACATGTCCGACCTAATCTTTCCATTGCGGGAAGTGCCCCACTGGAAGACAGCGGTCCGAGAGTCCTCGACCGCGCCAGATCCCAGGCCACGGGACCTTCCCGCCGCGAGACCAAGACGCCGCCGCCGCGCCCTGACGGTCCGAGGCCGTGCCGGGACGCCGCTCTGGGGGCTTCGGCACGATGGATCGGGTATGCATCGGGGTGGTGACCACACTCCGAAGCTGGGCGAGGGCTGCTAAAACCGTGGCTGCTAAAACGGCCCTCCCGGAAGGAAAAACAGCTTCCCGGAATGAGGCGCGGCACGCGAAGCAGTCAACGGGTTTCTTCCCGGAAGGACGAAGACAACTTCCCGGAGGTCGATTTTAGCAGCCACGGATTAAGCAGCCCTTGCCCGGCTTCCGACACACCGTGTGGTGAGTCGGTGGGGATTCGGGGACACCGCACGGTCTTGGGACTCGGGCCGTTCGCCGAGGACGTCTCGGGCGACTTGGGCATCCGAGGTCCAAAACCGTGCGTTGACGGACCGTGCGGTGAGGTCTTGGGGGATTTCGAGGTCACCGCACGGTTTGTCACCGCACCGTTTCAGGATTCCAAGATACAGTCAACCCGCATAGTGAGGATGGGCGGTTTTCCTAAGGGTACCCTTTCACCTTCCAGAGCCGAGGGATCCTCCAGAGCCGAAGGGATCTCAGAGATCCCCGGTTTGCCCCAGTCCGAATTGTTCTTCGGGGGCGGCCACGAGGGGGGTGATACTCACAGTCAACCCGCATGGTACGGACGGGCAGTGTTCCCAAGGGTACCCTGTCACCCTTGCCTCCGCGCCCCATCTTCGGCCACTTTCCTCGGAATGGGCGTCCAGATGCGGGCCGACTGTACTGTTGCGACCTGGCAATCCCAACTTGCGCCAAAAAAACCGTTCTGGGACTGCAGCCCTACGAATCCTTGGTGCGGCTGTGAATTTTGAGACAACGTGTGCGCGGCGCTGCGGCGAGAGCCGCATTCTGACGAGGAGCCGCCCAGCATCTTTGAAGTTGCTGCAGAACTTTTAAGGCGAGTGTGCGCGGCTCTGTGGCGAGGGCCACGTTCTGACAACGACCCGCCCTCCGTGCCTGCAGGTGCTGCGAACGCTGAGGACGACTGTGCGCGGCGCCGTGGCGAGAGCCACGTTGTGAAAACGGCACTTCCTCCAGCCATGAAGCCGTTGCAGTTCTAGCACGAGTTTGCGCGGCGCCAAGGCGGGAGCAACATTCTGAAAACCACTCGCCCTCCATCCGTGAAGCTGTTGCAAGCTTCGAGCTTCAACATTCAAACCTGACGAGGAAGTCTTAGGCGAAATGTGCGACCTGCCCTACCGACACGTCTGGGGGTGCGACACGGAGGAGTTATTCACCACATGCGTTTCAGCAGAATGGGTTCTTACCCAGTCACAAGGATTACGTTCTCAGAAGCCTCTGTCGGTTTTGTTGTTGTGGTTGCGGTTGGTTCATGTGTATGTTATGTTGTGTTGAGAATTGTTGTTATCCTTGCTCTTGTTATGCCAATGTCATTGTAAAGATGGCGCCCCTCCAGGTGGGCCGGAGGCCTCTGCTGGCTCGATGGGCCAGTGGTGGGCCAAGGAGCCCTGGCCTTCGAACATTGGCGACCGTCACGAGGATGGTGTCCCTCCTGGTGGGCCGGAGGCCTCTGCCAGCGCGCTGACCTTCGAAGAGTGGGGACCCTCATGAAGATGGTGGGCCCGTCCCGCTGGGCGGGAGGCCTCTGCCGGCTCTGTGGGCCAGTGGTGGGCCAAGGCGCCCTGGCCTTCGGAAAGTCGCGGCCCTCGCGAGGATGGCGCCCCTTCACGTGGGCCGGCGCCTTTGCCAGCTCAGTGGGCCAATCGTGGGCTGGGCGCCCTGGCCCTCGATAGGTGGCGACCCTCACGAGGATGGCGCCCCTCCCAGTGAGCTGGAGGTCTCTGCCGGTTTTGTGGGCCAGTCGTGGGCTGGGCGCCTTAGAGTGGCGACCGTCACAAGGATGGCGCCCCTCCTGGTGGGCTGGAGGCCTCTGTTGAATGTGTGGGCCTTCCCCCCCCCCCCCCACACGGGGTCCTTACCCAGGATTGCGTTTTTTCAGACGCTCCTGCTGGCTTTCCTGATGCGCGTGCGGCTGGTTCATGCGCTTGTTGTGCTGTATTGAGCACTCTTGTTGTCCTTGAGCTTGCCTTGTCAGTGTTTACCAGTCTGGAACATATCCCTATCCCTATGCGGGGCATCTCCTCGTCACGATGCCAATCTTAGGGATTCCCTTACTTTTTGAGGGCGAATCCCTAAGACTGTCATCGCCTCTTGGCGTGTCAATCTTAGGCATAGGGATACGCTCGAGGCTGGTAAAGTGCCACTGCGAGGATGTCGCCCCTCCAGGTGGGCTGGCGGCCTCTGCCGGCCCTGTGGGCCAGTGGTGGGCCCGGGGCTGGGCGCCCTGGTCTTCGAAGAATGGCGACCCTTACGAGACCGGCGCGCCTCCCGATGTGCTGGGTGCCTTTGGCGGCTCCGCGCTCGCTGAAATAGGGGTCGGAGGTGGATAGACCTCCTATCCTGACACTTCGATTGAGGAATTTGCTGTTTTCGGTTCCCGAGAGGGCGTCGCGGCCGTCATTTTTGCGGGTCCAGGTCCGTCGGTTTCGGTCCCAGGCCGTTTTCACTTTCACTAAGGGGAGGTTTACTAAAGGGAGGTTTGTCCACATCCGAAGGGGACCACATTCGGACCATGCCCATACCCCCCCACGATTTCTGAGGGGGGTAGGGGCAGGGTTCGCACGTGGACCCCTATGAAAGCGCTCCTGATTTTTATTTGGTCATGGGGCCTGTTCTTTCCGAGTCCTCTGCCGTCTTTGCCGGTGTGGTCGCTTTTCCATCTGGGATGGGCGTCGGGGCAACTACGTAAAATCCGTCTTCAAGTGAAGCAGGAGGGGACAAAGACATGGACACAATCCATCGCCGACCCCCCGGAGCGCGTAAGAAAATATGGGAGGTGTGGGGGGGGACGACGAACCCCCCCCCCCAAGGGGGGGTTCCAACCCCCCCCCCCGGGGGGGGGGTCCAAAACACCCCCCCCCCAGGGGGGGGGGGTCCGATTTTGATTCCGATCCGGCTTGACGCGGTCCGGTGTCCGATTCGATCCGGTTCGGACTTGCCGACCTCAGTTGATTTTGATTTGGTTGCCGGTGTTTGCCGGTTTCTGCCGATTCGATGCTCTTTGTCGACCCGACCCGGCTTATCGATTCGATGCTGGGGACGCCTGGGGGGACGACGAAAACCTCGAGCATCTGGGAATCCTGCCCCCCCGCCCGCGCGAGCAGGCCGCGTCGCACGGGGACGCGGGCGAGGACGCCGCGGACCCGGAGCTGCGGCTGCGCCAGGCGCCCCGCCCAGCGCCACCGCAGCGGCAGCCTGCGGCGGCAGCGGATCGGCGAGGGAGAGAGGACGAGGGTCGGGTATTACTCAGGAGGGGAAAAAACACACAGACACAATTAATCGACGATCCCCAGGAAAATATGGGTAAATATGGGAAGTGGGTGGGAAGACAAAAACACAAAAAATATAGGAAAATATGGGGAATCTTTTTATTTGTGTGTATTTATTTGTGTGTCCTGGGGCCCCTCTAATTACGGGGCGTGAAAACGACCACAGCCATTGCTTTTCTTTGGTTGCCGCCTTCCAGGGATTTCCAGCCAGCAGAAACAAGGCAGTGGTTGTGGTCATTTTCGTTAAGCTTGGCACCAGGGAAATGACCACAGCCACTGCTTCTTTCTCGGCCGGCTGGGAGGCGGCGCAAACAAGAAGCACTGGCTGTGGTCATTTTCCCGTCCCGCCGGTATGGCCAGGACCCCAGGCAAGAGCCCCTAAACTGGCCGGAATCGCTAAACCAGGTCTGCCGCAGCTCTTGTTTTTCGGGTGACGCAGTTCCGGTTCGTGGAACGGGGCGGGGGGGGCGTCCTCCAGTACGCATCATTAGAGCAGGTCCCACTAAACCCAGTTCTGCCAACGCCCGAGAGGAGGACGGGGGAGGGAGGGCCAGCCATGCGCAGAGGGGGGTGGGTTCGGTAGCAAATCGTGTGAGCCTTGTGTACCCTTGTTTTTCCGCCTTTAGCGTCGATGAGCGTGGATTCGCGTCGATTGGCGTCTGGCAGCTGACGAGATAGCGCCGATGTAGCGTCGGTTAGCGGCGATTAGCGTCGATTTAGCGTCGATTAGCGTCGATGTGGTGTCGATTCGCAACATCCGACAAGATGGTATGGGAGAGTCCCATGAGTTGCCACCGAACGGATCGGCGAGGGAGTGAGGAGGTCCAGTGGAAGGAGGGGCTTGGTCCGGCAGCAGAAACTGGAGTGGAAGTGGCGGGAGGAGCAGGAGGATCCGGGGAAGGCGGCTGGGCGGGAACTGAAGGGGGCCGCAGCGATGAAAGAGAGCACTCGGATCCAGGAAAGCCGGCCTGCGCTGGGGCGAGAGCGCCGCTCCGAGCGAGGGGAGGTCCGTGCCGATCCGAACACGAGGCCCCTGCTGCAGCGGGAGAGTGTGTAAACATCAGACGCGGAGAGATCCTCATCCACGCGCAGAGGGGGGTGGGGGGAGGGGGGAGGGCTTCTCAGAAGCACCCCTGCTTCTGAGAAGCCCCCCCCCTCCCTCCACCCCTTGTGCGCGCCGCCAAGATCTGGCCATCTGCTGGACGGAGTCAGGGGATCCGGCAGGTTCCCGTCGTGTCGACCGGCGAGGATCCCGCCGCCAGCATTCAACGTTGGACGCTGCTTGCGGCCCAGAAGCGGTCGATGTTGAACGGTCCTGCCGTTTCGGGAACTTCAACGGCCGATCGTTCGCGGCTGAACGATCCCCGCGGTGTCGGCAACCACGCCCGGGGTCGAGACGACACGGATCTGCCGCAGCTGAGAGCAGCATCCATGGTGTGGTATTTTTGTGGGGAGGGGGAGGGAGGGAGGGAGGGAGGGAGGGAGGGAGGAAGAGAAGGGGTATTTGTGGAGTGGGAGGGGGTGGGATGGAGGCAGGGAGGGAGGGAGGGAGGGAGGGAGGGATTTATGGAGAGGGCTGGTGAGGGGAGGTAGGGAAGACAAGGGGGGAGAGAGGGAGGGCGGGGGGTTGGCACGCCGCGTGCCGCGAAGAAGTCCCCCGGAGGTCCTCGACAGGAAGATCGAGGACGTGGTCGTCAAGCTCGGGGTGCCCCGGGGCTCCGTGCACTTCATAGAGAATTATTCAAGACGCTTCGCGTTCTCCGCCCGCCCACTCCAGTTCTCGCCGGAGGGGGCTCACACGGGGGCCGAAGACGGGAGAAGCTGGGGCTCACATGGGGGTTCACATGGGGGCTCGGGTAAGCTGGCGAGCACGGGCTTCAAGGCTCGAGAATAGAGAGTCATTCCAGGGGCTCGCGTCCTTCCGCCGCCCCCCGAAAGAAGGCTTGACGGTCCGGTTGTGTGAAGGAGCAGGGGCCTGGCATGTCGCTCGGACGTGTGCACTTGTCTCCCTCTCGGCGAGGGCCGGCGAGGAGCATCTTGTGCCAGCTTGCGACAGAAGCGTGCACGAGACAGCCGCAACATGTACGGGGGTTGCACTTCCGAGCTATTGCGAGAGGAGAGGAGCAGGACCCGGAGGGGGGAGGTCGGCGCCGTGCCGTCTGCGTCTCCCAGGGGGGGGTTGTCGGGCGTCGAGGAGGGGGGGAGGGCGATACAGTCGAGCTTGGTGAGTGGGTCGACCATGCCAAGTCGAGGGTGCCCTCGTGTCCTGCCTATCCCGCGCCATGCAACACGCATCTTGGCATTGCTGGGACGTGTGCATTTTTTCTCGGTGGGGATCGTTGAGGAGCATCTGGGCTCATGCTGCGGAAAACACACGCACGAAACAGAAGCATGCACAGGGAACAGACGTTCGAGCGATGGCAAAGGCAAGGCATGCCCTTTGGTTTTCCGGGGCCACGTTGCCGTCGGAAGAGTTCTGTGTTCTCTCCCGTGTCCTCTCCAATTCAAGTCCGACTGTATTCGGGGGAGGGGTGAGACAAGGTGCACATCCCCTGCCCGAAGGAGGCCCCCTGGGGCCCTCCAATTGCACGAAAGGGTCCTCCTCCGCCTCCTCCTCCGCCTCCTCCTCCTCCTGCAGTTCTCGCCTCCCCCCCCCTTTCGCAGCTCGCGCTGTCCCACGGGAGGGAGCACCGCCCGAGGGAGGATGTGATGGAGGGGGGTGGGGGTCCCAGAAGTTGCCGGCCGCGGCGCCCGATGCAACCTCCAGAGAGCCGAGGGCTCTCGGGGATCCCCGGCTTGCCCCAGTCCGATTTTGTGTTTCGGTTGCGGCCATCGGGGGCGGCCCAGAGGGGGGTGATGACTAGGGGGGGTGGATATCAATACTTCCTCAGATTTCATGGCGCCTCTTCTTAGCTCATTACGTCCCTGCCCCCCCCCATGGGCCGCGCACATGCCGCCGACCATGATTTCTCCCCCCCCCTCTTGGACGCCCCCCTCTTGGCCACCCCCGAGGCCACGAGGGGGATGATGATCACAGTCAACCCGCATAGGAAGGACTCGCAATTTTCCCCAGGGGGTACCCTTGCATCCCTGCCTCCTCGGTCCATGCTTGGCCACTTTCGGTGGCCGCGCCCTGGTCGAAAAGCTTCGGAACGACCTTCCAAGGCCCTTGCGTCCTCACCGTGCATCCTTCTGATACGGGTCCACTGTAGAGGGGGGATATCGTGGCGGGGGCCATGAGATCTCCCCAGATCTCATGCCGCCTCTTCTTTTTCCAATGCCTCCCCAGCAGCCCCCTGGGCTGCACGTGCCTCGGCTCATGATTTGCACTCCCCCATCTTGGACGCCCCCCCCTGGTGGACGCCCCCGAGTTTGTGTCCTGGCCTCATCTTCATTGCGGGGTGTGAGGGGCGGGTGGGGGAAAGGCTTTCCACTGCTGCCTCGTTCCCAGCAGTGGGGGCGGGCGGACCATGCTAGGGGGGACGTGGACGGAAGCGGAAGGCCCCCCCTTCCGGGCCTCGTCGCTGCTGCTGTGCGTGGTATGCTTCGGTGCGCGGCTGCGTACAGTACTCCAAACGGTGCTTACATCCAAGGACCATCAAAACGCGCCGATGCATTTCGGTTGTGAGTATCGGGCTAACGTTTCGTTTTGGGGGAGGGCACCTCCACCGATCCACGGATTTGGCGACCGTGCGCCAAATCCGTGGATCGCTGATCCCTGTCTGCGCGCCCCCGAAAGCAGCGCCGCCGCTGCCCCCGCCGCCGCCGCTGCCCGGTGCTGCTGCCGCTGCCCATGCCGCCGCCGCGGGGATCCTCTCTTGCTGCATCGTCGGCGCGCGGAGTCCTCCTCCTCCTCCCTCCTCCTCCTCCTATCCTATCCTATCCTATCCTATCCTATCCTATCCTATCCTATCCTATCCTATCCTTTCCTATCCTATCCTATCCTATCCTATCCTATCCTATCCTATCCTATCCTATCCTATCCTATCCTATCCACATCCCCATCCTCCGGAGGAAGAGGAGCACGGGTGATTACCCACACCGCTGCCTGTCCCTCGTGCTCGCCAGAGTGGGCCTCCTCGGAGGCCCTCGTCGTCACCGCTGGACGCCCCTTGAAGTCTGGGTCCATGCAACGGCTTCGATTCTTCGATCCTCGATTCTCGATTCTAGATCCTCTGTCCTCTGTCCTCGATCCGATCGAGGAGATCGGGGGGGACCTCCACAGGGCTCCCGGGAACGTCTCCGTGCACCTTCACCTCCTCGATCCAGTGACCTCGGTCCTCGATCCAGAGTTCCCCCCCAAAAACCCTTCGGGCCTCGATCTTCGTTGTCTTCCACGCCCTCGCTCTCCGCCCCCCAGGATTATGATCTTGAGGAGGGAAAAACGCAGACACAATCAATCGTCGATTCCCCAGAACATATGGGAAGACATGGGAGGCGGGGGGGAAGACAAAGCCTAGAAGATGCGATACGGGAACATCCGGGGAGTCCTGTTCTTTGTGCCCATGTGTGTGTGTGTGTGTGCCCCAGGGCCCCTTCAGACCTTCCAGCCCACAGGAGCCTTGGTCACCAGGAAGACCCTCGAGCACCAGGCGAGTACCGAGACTGGAGGGCTCCTCGCGCGTCGGGCCCCCGGGGGGGCCACGCTCGCTCGACACCGTGTCGATGCTCTTCGGGTTGCCCGAAGTTATGCCTGGGCGGAATGTGGTCCTCGAAAGTACGATGGGAGCAGCATGACTCCGGGCACCTCTCCGTGGACTTTCACGTCCTCAGGATCCTGGATGTCGACGGTCCGGTTTTCGTGGGACGTCTGCAGCGGGAGGTCGCGTCAAATTTCAGATGGGGCCTCGTCGTTTTCATGATGACCCCCGTCAGGCCAACCCGAGTCCCCCGTACCCGAGTCTCACGTCTCCCCGATCTTTTCGTGGTCTCTTCCATGCCCTCGGTCTCCGCCCCCCTAGTAGTCAGCGTCACCCCAACATACTAATACTATATGTGCGTCGCCCCCCCCCCCAGGGGCGACGCGCGCACCGAGAAATCCTGTATAGTAGGTGCGTCGTGGCGGGCGCTCTCTTGCCGCACCGCTCGGGAAACGATATGCCACAAAGATGGGTATATTAGATGTTCGGGCCGGAAGCGCGCTTCCAAGGACATCTGGTACTGCAGTGGGGGCCCATGCCGAGAAACACCTGGCTCGCCTCCAGGGTGCCCTGGGTCTCTTGGGTTTCGGTAGTCTTGCCATGGAGAGCGCGTGGCGCTCCCGCGCAACAAACATCGAGGGACGTCCCGGGGTCTCCGGCTCGGGTTCTTCTTGTGGAAGGCCTTCTGTGGTCGGGCGCCCACTGTAGTGTGTCTCTATGCAGGAGGGAGAGAAACACACAGACACAATTATTCGTCGACCCCCCAAAAAATATGCGGGAAACTGTGGGAAATGGGCGGGAAGACGAGCACCCAGAAAATATAGAAAACTATGGGGAATCCTGTTGTTTGTGTCTATTTCTGTGTGTGTGTTCCTGGGCCCCTCCACTGATGCGTCGCAAGGAACGTCTCCGTGGACTTCCACGCCCTCAAGATCCTGTCGCAGTGCTGCTGCCACGCGGACACCTTCGTCGCGCAGCAGACGCGCGGCGCGGCGGCCAGGCCGTCCCAGGCCGCGCCCGTCGTCGCCGTCGCCGTCGCCGTCGCCGTCGCCGTCGCCGTCGCCGTCGTCGTCGTCGTCGTCGTCGTCGTCGTCGTCGTCGTCGTCGTCGTCGTCGTCTTCGCGTTCTGTTGGTTTCTGGGGCGTTTCTGGCGGATTCTTCTTTCCGCCACGGCTGGACTCCCCTGATATCACAGCTTTGCATTTTTTTTTTTTTTTTTTTTTTTTTTTGTGAAACCGCTCTGTGTGTGTGTGTGTGTGTGTGTTCGGTCCCGGGCGCCCTCACAGATCGATCCGGCTCGAGCAGTGCTGCAGAATGATACCAGGAGTTCGTTTTTCTATTCATTGTTTTGCCGATCGGCGCGGGCCATCGCCCCCCCCCCCCTAGGAGTAGATCTTGGCTGCTTTTGGCGCCTGTGTCAAGCAGGTGGAGTCTCTCCCATAGGACGCACTGTCGCAAACAGACGCATTAAGCAGAGCGCCATAGCCAGACCCCCCTCTCACCCACTCCCTTCCGCCCAATGTCGAAACGCTGAGCAAGAACACGTTCACATGATGAGGTCCAGGAGTCCAAGCTGGGACTGGTCTTGAGCGGGGTTTTGTGGGCCGCGTCGGGATGACGAACTTGTCCTGGGGAAAGTCCAGGGGCCAATGACGTCTTTTTCTCTTGGGGCCCTTTCCCCCGCGTCACGGTCGTTTTTGCACGTTATCGTTTACGCCGAGGTTCGAGGAGTGAGCTTGGAGCATCGATAATTGTCGGCTTTTCTGATCCTCGTTTCGCTCCCAGCGCCGCCTGCGATGCGGTGTGATCCGCGTCGACTCGGCTCGATGCGATTCACTGGCATCGGGCGGGGCCAGCCACAGCCGGGCGCGGCGATCCAGTTTCGATTCGGTTTCCGGGCGATTCGCTGGTGATCCGATCTGTTTCTGAGGCGATCCGACTGCGCGATTCGATCAAGCACAGGCCTGCCTTCAGCGGAGCAAGGGGTCATGATCATGATACGCTCGGATTTCCAAGATCCCCCGGATTTCTCAAGATTCTCCTGATGCTCCAGAAGGGGCTACAGGAGCAAGGCCGGCTTGGCACTCCTGAGCTCCTGGAACGTACCCTGAGCCGATCGCGTGGCTCGGCGGCGAGCCCAGGGGGAAGGCAGAGGGGGCGGGCCTTCTCAGAGGGCTCGGAAGGCCTCGGGCCTTCCGCGCAGTTCTCCCCGCCCCCTCCGGAAGCAAAGGCGGCCTCTCAGAGGGCCGCGGAGGGCTTCCGAGAAGCCCCCGGCGTTGCGGCCCTCCGAGGAGGCCTGCCTTCTCTCGCTTCACCCCCCTGGGCGCGCCGCCGAGTCGCAGCGTCATTCGCGTGCTTCGAGTGGGGGATGGACTGCAGAATGGATCGACCCCAGGCTGGATCTTCTCGTCGGCAGTACGAACAGCTGCACGAGCACTCTACGTCTGTTCTCATAGGGCCGGAGAGTACATCGTGTTGGGGGCAAATCAACTCTTCCTTCAGTCGATCCCCTACTCGAGTCCTGTACCTCGTCGTCGTTTCTTATTCACTGTTTTGCCGATCGGCACGGGCCCTCGCACCCCCCCCTCCCCCCCCACTGGAGTAGGTCTTGGCTGTTTTTTGGCGCCTGTTTCGAGCAGGTGGGGTCTCCCCCAGAGGACGCACGGCTCCAGACAGCCGCACTACGCAAAGTTCCGGAGCCCCCCCCCCTTCTCCCACCCCTTTCCGCCCAGTGTCGAAACGCCGAATAAGAAAACGCTCGCCTCCTTGTTTTGTTTTGTTTGAGACTTCCCACGCACGCGAGCTCCCGCGAACGGCTCCCGCGAACGGCCCACGAGGCAATCGCACGGCCGCCCCCGCACTCGCTGGCGGAGTGCTCGCTGTGCACGGCGCGCGCGCACAGATTATTCGGCAAGAATGCTCCAGATTCCGTAATAAAGGGAGGGGGGTCTCATTTGGGGGGGTCTCTTCCAGGCTATCTTGGAGGGTCTGGGGGGTCTGGGGACGATGTTTTGGAGGGTTCTCCCACGGGGGAGGTCTGAAATGGCTTGTCGTGGAGGGTCCAGACCCCCTCCCTTTCATTACGAAATCTGGAGTAATCACACATCAACGCAGAATTATCGAGATAATTCGCGCACAGGCCAGCCAAAAGACAGCGCTCACCTCCGCGGGCCTCCGAGCGGCAGCCTGCCGGCCCCACAAAAGGGGGCGGGAGGTGCGCGCGGCACGCGGTGCGCGGCAGCGGCGCGCGGCACGGTGCGCGGCAGCGGTGCAGGGAGACAGCGGCAGCGGCGAGCGGCAGCGGCGAGCAGCAGCGGCCAGGGCAGCAACGGCGGCGGAGGGAGGAGGGAGGAGGGGGGAGGAATCGGGGGTGGACAGAACCCCCAACAGTGACACGTCGATTAGTGAATTGTCCGTTTTCGGCTTTCGAGAGAGCGCCGTGGCCGTTATTTTCCAGGCTTGCGCCCGCCAGGTTTGGGCCCGAAGTCGTTTTCACTAAACCACGTTTTCCTAAAGGGAGGTTTGTCCATCCCCGAAGGAAGGAGGGAAGAGGAAGGAGGGAGGAGGAGGGAGGAGGGGGGTGGATCCAAGAAGGAAAAGGTACCCATACCGCTTCAGCCGAAACCAGCTCCTCGCTGCACATTTTGGACCCCCCCCTTTCCTTTTCGGGCAGTCAACCCGTAACATAAGGATGCGCGATAAAGGATGCAAGGGCTTTTGGACGCCCATGTCGAAGCTTCTCGAGGCGGGCGCGGCCGACAAAAATGGCTAAGGATGGACCGAGGAGGCAAGGAGGCAAGGGTAAGTACCCTTGGGAAGGTTGCCCATCCTTACTATGCGGGTTGACTGTACCCTTGCCTCGTTTGCCTCTTTGTGGGCCTCCTGGGAGGCCCTCGTCGCCACCGCTGGAATCGCCTCGCAATAATGGTCAGAGCGCACCCTCGGAGAGTTCAGGGGAGTAGCGGTATGGGTACCTTTTGGTTTCCACGAAGGAGGGCGAGGGGGGAGGGAAAGGGGAGGGGCAAGCTAGGTGCGCTCGCGTCATATCTGACGTCCTACCTCTCCCTTCCATACCATGGCGTAGATCTCCTGTCAATTCGCACAATCGTATGTCGCAGTATGGCATAGCATTACATGGCATAGCATGGTGTTGAAGATCAACGCGTAGCATGCCATAGCAACGCCCCAAAGTGGGAAGGGCTTCTGCGGCCCAATACATCAATGACTTGACACCGAATGTGCAATCACATCCGATGGTTTTTTCGGGAGGCCATTTTCTAGATTTTGGGGCCTGTTTGGAAGGACCGAAAAACATGCCGTGGCATGGCGCTGGAAATAATGACGCCATCGCTGCAGTTGAGAGCAGATTTGGAACGACCGGTAGCCCGAAGATGAGGCCAGCGCTTCAGTGAGAACAACATCTTGAAAAGAAACCCCAAGCGCGTAAACGCGGAAATGAGGACGCGTAGCCTGACATAGCATGGCGTGGCGACGCCCTAAAGTGGGGGGGGGGCTTCTGCGGCCATAAAATCAATGAATCGACACCGAATGTGTAATCACGTCCGATGGTGTTTGTCGGGGGGGCATTTTTTTTTTTTGTTTTTTGATTTTTGGGCCTATTTGGAAGGACCGAGAACTATGCCGTGGCATGGCGCTGGAAATAATGACACCATCGCTGCAGTTGAGAGCAGATTTGGAACGAGCGGAAGCGCGGAAATGAGACCAGCGGTGCAGCGGAAGAACGATTCGGAACGAGCGGTAGCCCGAAAATGAGGCCAGCGCTTAAGCGAGAGCAACATTTTGAAAAATAGCCCAAGCGAAAACGAGGGGGGCCGAACGTTTCCCGGACGCCACCAGGGGAGAGAGGAGAGTAGTATTCATATTGTGTATTTGTGACCCAAAAGGAAGTCCAGCGAAACGAGGGGGTGGTGCAACAGATTTGGTACAATAGATTTGTGGGGCTGCAGTAGATCTGGGGTGTGCAATGCATTCGGGTACGCAGCCGGATTGCTGGATTGTCGCGTGCAACACATCAGATGCAATACAAGGGGGCGTGACGTTCCTGAGGTTGGTGGCCCCGCCAAATCAGAGCGTCGGTGTCGTCGGCGTCGTCCTCGTCGTCGTCGTCGTCGTCGTCGTCGTCTTCGTCTTCGTCGTCGTCGTCGTCGTCGTCGTCGTCGATGGCTGCGCCGCCGCCTAAACAGCGGCCCGCAGTGTTCTGTGCAGTGAGCCGAGCGGCGCGCGGCGTCGCCTTGGCGGCGCGGCGGGGCGCGCGGGGGCGAGCTCATCCCCAGCGGCTCTTGCACACTCGCGCTCAGCCCTCCCCCCTCCTGACCACTCGCTCCCTTGCTCCCTCGACCGATCGATCTAGAATCGAGGCTCGTCGATCGATTATTGCTTGACTTTGCTGTCCCCCTCCAGGATGCTCCCTCGCTCCCTCCTCCCTTCCCTTCCTCTGCCTTTCTCCCTCCATCATTCCCTCCTCCGCTCCCTTCTCTTTCGCTTCTCCTCTCTTCTCCCCTCCTCCAGCCCCTACACCCCCTCCCCCTTCCTGCTGCCGCTGCTGCTCCCCTTCCTCCAGTCCTCTCCCCTTCCCTCTTCCAGCTGTTCATCCCTTGCTCCCTCCTTCCCTTCCCCCCTCCCCCTCCTCCTCTCCCCATCTCCACCCTCCTTCCTCTGTGTCTCTCTCTCTCTCTCTTCCCTTCTTATTCATGCATTCATTGATTCAATCATTCATTCAATCATCCATCCATTCTTTCAATCATCCATTCATTCTTCATTCATCATCTTCTTTTTTCCCTATCTTTCTCTCTCTTTCTGTCTCTCGCTTTCTCTCTGGACAGCGCGTGCGCAACGCCTACCCTGAGCGCGCGCAGATCGCGCCCACGCGGGCGGCGCCGCATCGCCCAAGGGGGGTAGCGGTGAGGCGAGGCGGCCCCGCAGGCGGAGAGAGTGGCGGCCCGTGCGTCAGCCGAGCCGGGAGCCCGTCCGGGCCCCGGCTGGGGGCCTGGCGGCCCCGCACCCCAGAAGACATGGTCAGCGCACCGTCCGCCCGAGGCTCCCCCCCCCCCCAGGAGGAGGAGGAGGAGGAGGAGGAGGAGGA